GTGTGTGTGTGTGTGTGTGTGTGTGTGTGTGTGTGTGTATAATATGGGTATCCCCAAATAGAATAGCGCTAAGTACTCTATAACCCTTACTAGTTGTACAATTGTAAATCTCTGTTTTAATTACCATCTACTGCCAAAAGAAGCTTCTCTGATGAGGGTTGAGAGATATGAAATATAACACACACCACATATAGGATATCATATAATGTTCAATGTGTGCATACATTGTATAACATTCATATCAAAATATGCATATCTGTTTCCTCGAACATAGCCCTTATTTTTGAAGACACTCAAAATCTAGATTTTTAAAACAAAATACATTGATGTCATCTAATTGTGAAACAGAATCCAGGACTAATTTTTCCTATCTAACTGGAACTTAGCCGTCATTGGTCAACCTTTTCTTATCCCTCCCTCTCACTGATTCTTCCCAGCCTACGGCAAGTACACTCAACTTCCATGTGATCAATATGTTTAGGTAGTATATTATTTTAGCCTTTCTAGTGTGTAACCCTGACCACTGGGTTCCGGCACTCATTTTACATTTATATGGTTTATTAAAAATGTTAGTGTTATACCCCTGTGCCTTGTTGGATATATGGACCAAACCAAAACCAAGCAGAATTTATGCTATATGTTTGGAGTTGGAGCCAATCACGTTATGGTTTGAACTCTTTGTGACACAGGAGAACTAATACACGTGTATGGCTGGATCATCACTGACCGGCTGGAAACGTTTGATCCTGATGCGGACTACATCGACAGGTAAGCCTGTTTGTTCCTGTGTTCACCTGGTTACATATGTGCTTGATGGCACCCCGGGGCCAGCTTCTATTACAGCAGCAAACTGCAGAACACAGAGCTGCTACTTTCCTCTATGCAGTTTATGGTCCTTGGCGCGCCAGATTTCAGCTTTCCCTTTGTGAACGTGATTGCAGCTGGCAGATTAGGTTGGTCCTACTGACAGGTAGAGACTGGGTTCTCTGTGAACAGTGCTATAACTGGTCCTTTTCTTTCCTTTCCTTCCCGCCGCTCTGAGGGTAAAGTGAATTCTCTCTAAAGTGATGCGTAAACACAAAAGTCTATTAAGCTTTCTTTTTAGTTGGTTATTACCCATTGTTCATTCAGAAGTCCTGTTGGTGAGGTGAGAGGGAACCGTGGGCTCAGGCACAGAGGAGAGACCGTCTGTGGGCTCAGGCAGTACGAGCTGTGTAGCGTGGTAGTGTGTAATGCTTGTGAACGTGACGTTCCTCATGGATATGTTAGAGGTATAGAATGTTACTATGAAATCATCCGTGTTTGGGAGAGGAAGACCAGAGTTCACAAGAAGCTTTGGACAACTGATGTCCCCCAACATATCCTTATATAGTGAAGATTTATAATTTACCCAACTGTATGGTGTCTACACACTGGTTCTAAGTTTTTCTTCACCCCTGAATATCTTAGAGGCAGTTTCTTTGCTTCTCACATTTTTTTTGATTCTTCCCTCCATTTCTATCATTAAGAAGTTGTCAACTTCATTTTATAATAATAATAATAATAATAATAATAATAATAATAATAATAATAATAACTTTTACTGGGGGAAAGAAAGTCCAAGTATATCCTTAGCCAATGTGCTGTCTTTACTGCTTGGTCCTATCTTAGCCTCAGTCTGGGATCCAACTTTTAAAGGTGTAGTTAAGACACAAATTCTATAACTGTGCAGACCAAATATGGAGAAAGGGTAAAATCTCCATGTACAATGCAGAATCATGGGCTATGAGGGTACCTCTATTCCCTGAGAGAAAAGTAAGAGTCTCCACCGAGCCCCCACAATGGTACCCCACAGGTCCAGAGGAGAAAGTTCAGAACATTCTGCCTTTGGCAACCATGTTTACTGGGAACACTGCATTAGCGTTTCTTGTCTTTGTTTTTTCTCTTTGCCCATCAATACAGCCCATTAATCCTGGAGGCTGAAGGAGACAAATGGCTTACTCCTTGTTCTCTTATAAATAGGCAGACAGGAAGCTGGTGAGTATTTTTTTTTTTTTTTTGCTGTTATTGTTTTCTTATGTGTGCTTTCAGTTTGTTCTATATGATAACCGTATACACATACAACCATCACTTAAAAAAAACTATAAATCACTTGTAATAGTTATCTCTCTTATTTTTAGACTTACAGGAAAAAGATGAAAGTATCAGTGGAAAGTAAAAAATAAAGTAGAATCTAAAGCCTTTTGTGAAAATAGCGAGGCACTACTTATTAAAGGCTCCACACCAACACTTGGCCAATGCTCTACACTGAAATCAGCCAGTTATTTTATATGTGTGGTTATTAGTCTCTCTTTGCAGATGAGACTGGGTTTTATAGAGATCATGCAGCAGACTGGAGCCTGTAATTCTTTATGACCAAGCAGCCTTCAGAATCTATCTCCTACCACTGTACCTATAATGACAAGGAAATCAAACAATGCTTGAAACATGTTTTTTCCCCTTTTTAATGAACTTCTGGTGTTCATGCATGTGTGTGCATGCTTACATGTGTGTGGGCATGTATGTATGAGGCTTTACGTGTACATTCAGGTAGCTCACATTTAATGTATGGAATCGTAATAGCTTGACTTCCAATCCTGTTCAAACAGACAGGCCTTCTTAATCAAACTCAGAGCTAGCTATGGCTAGTATTGTACACACAAAGTCCCATCCTGAAACATTTAAAAATGAGTGTCTCTACACTCTAGGTATTATTGCCACAATTTGGCAGGATTTTTACTTAACTTTCAACTAGATGAGTTAATTTTCCTTTGAGGCTGTAACAAGAATTGTGTGCTGTGGCCTGCCCTCTTGGGATGAGTATTTAGTGGAACCGAATTCTGTACTGTAGTTTCTTTCTAGTGTCTTCAGTTAGCCTGAGATTGTTTTTGGTTCACATCTTTTGTTAGGTTTTATTATGTTTGTCATAAAACAGATTTTGAAAAGAAAAAAAAAACACGAAACAGAAACCACGAGTAAGTTGACCTTTGTTTGCCAGACTGTGCCCACACTGTGAATTTGGCATGGGGCTTGAGGACTCCGGTTGGCATTATTCTATAGATTATCTTACTATACATACCTTCAGCATGTATCAGATTTTTTTCTGGCTATTTTGGCTCCTATATATTTGCTTTCTTTACAGAGCTGAGAATTTTCAGCAATTGCCTGGTTATTCTTACTTCAGCATGTTTTTCCCCCCTCAGTTTTCCCATCCAGGAGGAACAAGGCCTTGGGACTGTGCAGTGCCGTGTGGAAGGCGATTACATTGGTCTGTTTTAGAACTATCACCTAAGAGAAGATAGTTTCTTCCTTGGTATCCAGAAAGGCAAACAAAAACATATTCCCTATATGGTATTCCTGTGACTAATAACAACTGCTACCAAAATAACTTCTGAAAAAAAAAAAAAAAAAACCACACAAACATCTTCATTGTAAACTAATTTAATTGTCATAATCAGTAATTTCACTTTACAAATGATTGTGTTGATAATGTCAACTTGTGCTGACATTAGGATTTAAATCATGCCTCATCTAAATCTAGGCACAGGGCTTTTATTTGTCATACATGTGTTGTGTCCAATTCTTCATGAAAGCCTCTGAAGTATTTACCTGGGCAACTTGAAAGAGATTCCAGGTGTGGCAAGTAATGATGATGTTATAGGTGTGGGCCTAAGGTAGCAATGTCTTGGCCCAGGAGAGTCATGCTCAGTCCTAGACTCATGTCTGTATCTTTGTGTTTCAGGTTCCCAGAATGTTAGTTTCTCAGTATTTAACAAAGGGAGGTGAGTAACCAGGGCAGACAAATCTGCCTGTGTCTGGTGTCATCTGTAACCTCCTGGGCACTGTCTTTAACCTTTACAATTTCAACCATACACCAGTAGGATATAGCAAATCCCCCACACCTATGATTTCTCTCCCTTGAGTGAGCATTGTTCTGTCTTACCTTTGGGCATCACAGAGGCATCACAGAATTTTAGGAACTAGGCCTTAAGTGCAGTGAAATCTGTAGCTGTCATGGGTGTTATAGGTAATAGTTTCCAGAGGCACGCTGCATCATTATAGGACTTGCCTTTTTCAAAATAGAGAGTTCACATTTCATCATTCTTCGGAGACACAGATAAATTAGGATTCTGGATTTCTGTGTGTGTGCCCTACTTCTTGTTCTGGCAGAAGTTTTTGCCCTTAAAAATGCATTCATTGTTTGAAATTAATTTGACTGTGATTATATCAATCCATTACATATAAGTGCACAGCTCAAAGTATGGATTTGTTGTCTCTTTCTTTCCCCTCAAGAACAAAACTCGCACACGGTATATACTCACTCATATAGTCTTATAGGATAAACCTACTAAAATCTGTACATCTAAAGAAATTAATCAAGAGAGAGGACCCTGACTAAAACACTCAATCCCCATCCCGAAAGGCAAAGAAGATGGACGTCAGAAGAAGAAGAAAGCAGGAAACAGCCTAGGAACCTGCCACAGAGGGCCTCTGAAAGACTCTGCCCTGCAGACTATCAAAGCAGATGCTGAGACTTTATGGCCAACTGTTGGGCAGAGTGCATGGAATCTTATGTAAGAAGTGGGAAATAGTAGATTATGAAGAGGACAGGAACTCCACAAGGAGAGCAACAGAACCAGAAGATTTGAACACAGGGGTCTTCCAAGAGACTCATACTCCAACCAAGTACCAGGCATGGATATAACCTAGAACCCCTGCGCAGATGTAATCCATGGCAGTTTAGTGTCTAAGTGAGTTACATAGTAATGGGAAGAGGGACTGCCTCCGACACAATCTGATTGGTCACCTTTGATCTTTGATCACCTCCCCCTGAGGGGAGAGCAGTCTTACTAGGCCACAGAAGATGACAATGCAGCCACTCCTGATGTGATCTGATAGACTAAGATCAGAAGGAAGGAGAGGAGGGCCTCCCTTATCCGTGGACTTGGGGAGGGGCATGAGTGAAGAAGGGGAAGGGAGGGTGGGATTGGGAGGGGAGGAGGGAGGGACTTATGGAGGGATACAAAGTGAATAAAGTGTAAAAAAATAATTAAAAAAAGAAAATCTTAACAAACTGAGCATATAATGGGAATTGTCTTCCATGATAAACATCATTTATAAACATCATTTACAGAAGAACTTGAAAAAAAAAAAGAACAAAACTGATCTACTCTATTGTAGGAATCTCTGGTATCTGTCTTTTCAGTATGGGAATCTACAGTATCCACTTACGTATTATAGGAATCTATTATCTAGTGTACATTAGCTCAGTATCAGTCCCATTTATATTTACTGTTGCATTTAACATTTATGACATCCTATAAAATAGAGATTATTTCAGTACAATAATTTTATCTACGAGAAAACAAGCTTGAATCCACTGATACTGCTTTTGCGTTATCAAAAGGAGCTGGTGTTCAAGTTGTTAAACATACTGGAGGTTATTCTGTGAACTTCCTTCTAAGCAGTCAATTTTTAAAAACACAAATGTAGGTGACATCTTATCAAAAGCCTTTATTTTCCTTTGAAGGTCAATTGTGCACAAGAAAGCCTGGCTGATCAGTGCGAAGCAGGCCCTGTTCTTGTACCAGACATACTCAGGTACTCTCTCCCTTCATCCCTTCTTCGTCATCCTTTCCCTCATAGTGCACTCAGAGTTAGACTTTCCTTTTCTTCTGGAAGTTTCTCTGTGGCCATTAGCATGACCTTTTGGTTCTGGCTGAAATTAAGTTGCTTGTATTTGTGTCAGCTTTGGTGCTTATAATCCTGCATTGTTTACTGATGTTCTGAAAAATGCATCATTAAGTGCCTTAGTTCTTGCACTTTCTTCACAGCTTGCTTGCACGCAAATGTAGATGCTGTAGCTCAGTCATGAATTATGGCCTCTTGATGCAAGCAAGAGATGAAATAAACATGCCATGCATGAAGCTGGTGTCAGTATAACACAGCATACTGTTTTTCAGTGAACTCTTTATTTTGTAAGCAACTTTTTATTTTATTTTATTTTCCATTATAAAATAACAGGACAAGCATAGAAATAGTATAATATAATAATCAGATAAAGGTAAGTTCAATTAATTATTATTAAGTATAGATTGTACATATTTATGTTGCACTTTTGTGTTAATTTTTGACACTTTATTACTGTTTCATAGTTTATATAACAATTTTTAGTCATTTTGTTTTCAATTCCCTTCTCTCATCCTCCTCCAATGGCAGCATAGTAGCTTTGCAGGAACCAAAATGTCCTTACAGTATATGTCTATGTCCTTGCAGTAGCCTTGCTGGTGTCACTCCATGGCAAGTTTCCAGCACCAGTACAGTCTTATGGAGGAACTGATGAAGATGTGATCTGTTGTTGGCTGATGCACTGTCAAGCAGCTTTTGACTGTATTCAAAGAAGCTTGACTGTAGACTTCTATACAAAGTCTGTGGCTATAGACTGAAAGAAATAAACAGGCGTTGTGCCTTCTATGTTCTGAAAAGTAACAGGAGGAAGGTGGCACTTCCTTCTGGTTATTCTCCCAGCCCATCCCTGCATATATGCACTCATTCAGTGGTTTATGACTTACCTATTCTGATGCTAAGCTAAGCACAGTGTGGCCCTCTGATGGGCAAGCTCTGATACTAAAAGATGAACTCTGAAAATTGGAAACTCACACAAAATTGTGAACTCAGTTCACTAGCAGGCGGTTGGCTAGCTAAAGAGAGCTTGCAGTGTCCACCACAAAGCCACTGAAAACATGACTGTGAGGTAGGTTCAGATTTCAGAAGCAACGAAAACTGCCTTTCTAAAAGAGAAAGCTATCATCCCCCAGGTCATGGGACAAACGTGATTTATTCTCCAGGCAGCCCATCCTGCTGGAGCTGAATTTGACCCTTGCCCTTCTTGTCTTTAAACCTGGTGTGTTTGAGAATAGGTGTGAAGAAGAACCCATACCCATGGATACAGTGACATGAGCAACAAGGCAGTTTAATCCTGGATGAGTGTTCAGCATATAATCCCAACATTCATTTTTTTGAGCTAAAGAATAGGAAATACTGCCCTGTGTGACTATTGAGAAAACAGATTAAGAGGGGGTGCATGACGCTACCTAAGGTCCCTGCAAATTATAACCCCCATGCATATAACCAACACCCCTTAGGAAGCATGCTGCCTCTTCTGCCCTAACTCAGGATTCCACGATTCTGCTGTGGTTTCCAGTCCAGATGGGAAGGCTTACAGTTTCTGTGATCATACATTTCTTGGGATGTATGACTCACAGGCCCGAGCATTTTCATAGTGGAGGAATCCCCAAGGATATAGAGAATCCTTAAGAGTCTGGAGCTGAGCCTCTTCAGGCTAGCACACGGTAACCAGTCCAGTGTGGTTAAGCTTCTAAGCCTTTCTGAGCTAGGTTCAGCTCATGTGAAAGGAATAATGTGGTGCTTGATCTTTCACTTTCAAAGATTGTCCAAAGTAGTTGGCGAGGAAGAATTTTTGAATTCACCCAACATTTCTCTGCTCTTTTTATGATCACCCTCATGGAATCACACATTTATCAGAGGTCTGCCTGCCTCTGCCTCCCAATTTCTGGCATTAAAGGAGTGTATTACACCTGGCTGACACATCTATTTTATCTTTTTAACAGCTGGGCAGTTTGGGGCCCCATAATCTCTGGCATAGCGTGCTCTAGAGATTTCTTAGGGAGTCTGACTTGACATCTGTCCCCTGAAGATCCATGTTCCACACAGCCAGCAGTGATGTCTACTTCAAGCAAACACCTGGCACTTCTTCACCTGGTCCATTCTCTAATCCAATGGTTCTCAACCTCCCTAATGCTGCGACCTTTAATACAGTTCCTCATATTGTGGTGACCCTCAACCACAGAGTTTTTTCATTGTTATTTCATAACTGTAATTTGCTAGTGTTAAGAATTGTAATGCAAATATCTGATATACAGGATGGTCGTAGGTGACCCCTGTGAAATGGTTGTTCAACCCCTAAAGGTGTCACAACTCACAGGTTGAGAACTGTGGCTCTAGAGGACTCACATCTTCTGTGAGAAATAGCCCACTTCTTTACCTCTTCCTTATGTGCTTCTCAAGCTCATTTTCCTCTTTCTCTTCTTTTCTCTCTTCCCGTCTCTCTTTCCCCTCTGTCTGTATATTCTGGCAACCCTAAAATGCATTGTGCAACCTTCTTTCCTATTCTGGCTCTTACTTGCTTTAAATGTTATTCTTGCTCTAATGTAGTCAGTTATTTTTTTTATAATTTCTTTCTGAAACAGTCTTACTATATAACCTAAGTTAGCCTTGAATTTGTTATGCTTTTGCTCCAGCCTTCCCAGTGCTGGGACTATCGGTAGGTGTACACCTTCATTCTTTTCACTCTTTGGTCAGCTTAAACCCATCCTTTAAGACTCAGTTCAGATATCATTTCCAGAACGTTTTGTTTTTCTTGTCTGTACCCCAGCCCACTCCTAAGCCTTTCTCTACTTCATAGCCTTTTAAATTTTGCTTACCTGTATGTAATTACCTACTGTAATTATACGCCCATACACAGACACTTTCTTGGCACACTCACCTGCTTGAAGGAAGGGACTCATCTGAATTCATCTTTATCTTTCTGGTGTAATGGAACAGGTGCAGTGTGAATGGTGAAAAAGATTATACCATGTACAGCTGTGTTTAAAGGCTAGGAAGCCTCTCTTCCCAGTGAACAATAGTGGATGCAGAGACCCGCTGCTGCTCCAGATGCTGAGTGACAGCAGAGTGCTCAGCTCTAAATAATATGACTTCCCCCAAGGCTAAGGAAAGACCATGGAGGAGGGCATGAAAGAATGTAAGAACCAGAGACAGGAAGAAGGGATATGAATGCCACCTTCTGGGCATAGTATAGTCACTGTAGTCTTGAACTCAGAGCAGCCAGTTACCTACACTGGACCTGCACAAGACTGGCCTGTTAACCATTAGTTATGGAGGTGAAGGGTTTCATGAGGTTTTATCCCTCTCTGTTTAGTTATTGGATCCTGAAAGATCCTGGGAGAGGGGGAGTTATTGTCTTCAGTTCTGGACCTGTTGATGAGTGTATCAAGTTCCAGTGGATGGGAATAAATCTGTGGTCAAGCAGATGACCTTTGCTAGAATCAGTGGGTCAACAAACCAAACAAAAAGACTTGAATGTGTGGCAAGGATTCTTAGGGAGGGATGGGTGTTGAGAGTGTGGGAGGTGAGGGTAATTAGAATGCACCTTATTCATGTATGAAGATGTCAAGTAGCAAAGCAATTAAAAAATTATCCCTATTTTGAAGTTGTAACTATTCATGACCAGCACCTGTATAAATACATTTTATATATGTCATGTTTGAATATATGTCTACTATACATTATAGTATAAATACATATAAGTTTACCTTTATTTTATCAAGGAGCACAACTTTTTCTCTCACCTGAAAGGAACCAAATCTTTTAACTGTAAATATTTAAAGAAAGGACGAGAGAGATGCCTTGGTGGTTAAGAGTGCATGCTGAACTTGGAGAATAACCAACCCAGTTCAGTTCCCAGCACCCACATGAGGCATCTCAGCCCCGAGATAATCTGATGCCCTCTTCTGGCATCTGCTAGTCCTGCATTCATCCCCTTCTACACATCTACACACAATTATAGTCTTTAAGGAAAGGGTAACAAAACCCTTGTGAGTATGCTTCACATTGCAAGAGGGGACTCAGCTGGGAAAGAGTGTGGGTGAGAGATTGCATGTGCCCGGGGAGGAAGCCTGCAGCATGGGCAAGAAATAAAGACTGGGTAACCAAAACCCCACTCAGTGCATCTATTGACTCCTCCATGCGGTGTAGCCTACTCCTCCCTGATGTTAAACTAAACTCTTGATGTGAAGGACAGATTGCATAAGAATGCATAAGGGATGCAGAGGCCCTTGCTGATGCTGTGTGTGACTTTCCTTCTAACTACTGATCCCATATAATATATATTTATAGTCCGTTTGTTATTATGTGTGTGTAAAATGACTGTTAGAAAAACTTTCAACTGCTGCTCAAATTGCAGTATAACAATTAAGTGTTGATGGTTTCTCTTATTTTCAGGGGCACATCACATTATATATTTAGAAGCTTACGTTTTTTTAATAAACTCTTGCAGAAATCCTCTCTGTGTTTCCAAAAGTTGGGAGCCTGGGGGGAAGAACAGACATCACCATTACAGGGGATTTCTTTGATTCTTCTGCCCAGGTTACCATTGCAGGTAATTATGCTAAACTGGCTGAAAATGGTTCAGTTTTAAATGCTGTAGGGATGTGCATCCCTTATGGCTCATGGTTGTGAGGGGAAGTTTTCTTCCATTTGAAACATACATACATGTATGTATGTATTTGGTGTATGTGTGTAGATTTTTATGTGTACATTTGTGTAAGAGTGTGTCTTTATTTACATGTATACTTATGAAATTTGAAAATTCTCCTTAGGAATTCCATGTGACATTAGACATGTGTCTCCCAGGAAGATTGAGTGCACCACCAGGGCTCCAGGAAAAGGAGCAAGGCTCACTGCTCCTCAGGCAGGTAAGGAAGACCCTAGGGCTTCTCAGTATACTCTCTACTGGCATGCTTTGCTTCAAGGAGCCAGAAAGCAGAAGGAAACATATTTGAGTTCGGTCTCAGCAGTGTGACTGATTGTTTTCCCAATGCCATGGTCAAGCCTTTCATATCAGGGAACATCTTAGAGTCATTCAGTTGCAGAGTGGCACTGCATTCCTAGCCCCCGCCATATGTCCGAACAATAGACTTCAGGCAGAATGTAACTAGCACCCAGAATGGCTACCGAATGGAATCCCCAAACTGCCTCTCTGCATTTGGTAGGATGGTTGTGTGTTTATGGGCTGAGGAGACAGGAGCAGTGGAGCATGCCTCTTTGTGCTCATAGCAGCAGCAGTAGGTAGGTCATAGAGCAAGGCACGATGCGGTATATTTAAATGCTGCTTATTTCCCCCGGGGCCACTTTCCTGCTGATATCACAAATGGGGATGTGCTCTGACATGGCCACCAGCATCTGCCTTTAGTAGGCAGAAATGGAGGCGGCAAGGCAGCAGGTTCCACCTGTCCGGCTTTGTTTGAAGCTACCGCGTTTCCTGCTAGGCATTAGCACTGGAGGCTCCAGCGCAGTTAAGGATAAGGGAGGTTGGCATGCTGCTCTGTTGAGAACCACAGGCTGCTGCTCTGTGGGTAAGGCACTGACCTAATGCTCAGAGATGTAGTGAGTCAATTCGAAAGGCTGTAAGCAAAATTGCCCTGCAGGAGTGAAACCTTCCTAGAGGCAGGCCTTTGCTGTGTAGTGACAAATGCAAAGCTCTGGCTTGAGAATTCTGGCACTCCCAGATTCACAGTGTGTATGTAAGGAGACGAAAGTACTGAAACAAGTAATAAAGAGAAAGTGTGTTTCCTGCGTCAGGAAACAGAACGTGGTTCCCTTATTGAGTGTTTCCTGCTTTAGCTGCTATAGTCGTGGTGGGATCATTTCCGGAAAGCAGCTATTTGAATCAGTGATGCCCTTTCTGAAAAGCTTTGGAGGTTTGCCCTGTGAAAGTAGGGCAGAACACCACTCAAAGCAGTGTTTCTCCAACGTGGCTGATTTCTTGTCCTCAGGGGACAAGACGATAATAGCATCTAATGAGTAGAAACCAAGGGTGCAGCCCATCCCACAGTGCCTAGCAAAACCCAACGACAAAGCTACCCAAACTAAAATAGCAACAGTGTAGAGGTTGGGAATCCCAGAATTAAAGTCAATTTTCTTAACATGCTTTTAATTCTCTGCTTATTCCTTATTTACTATCCATCTTAGGGACCAACGGGGAGCAAAATAGTAGTTTATAATAAGAGTTATCATAGACATCCTTTATTGAGTACTTACTCTATTTCTAGATCCCTTTAGTCTTTGCATATTGTTTCTAGTTATTATCAGCCCTGTTTTGATGTATGAGTGAATGAGTCATTGAGGAATGCCCCTGAATTTCACATCTAGTAAAGGGTAGATGTGAAGTAGATTCTAGTAGAGCTAGAATCGGAATACACAGTTACGTATGTCTATGGGCCCATCCAAGATGATTATCTGATATTGATCAAAATTTGTATCCAATATGGATGCACACATGCCTTTTGCCTCAAGGTTTGCTTAATATAAAGTATAAATTAATAAGTACAACTTCTGTTAAAGTGCCACATAATGAAGTTATGGCCCTGACTTGTCCATAAATTGAAGTCATGCTACTTGGAAACTTGAAGGATTGGCATCTTTTTTTGGGAAAGGAAATTTTATGAAACGGAACTTGTGGGCTTAAACAGGTTTTCGAGTTCATATCCCGCCTCAGAAGGCACAAAGTCAGGCAATGTCCCATGTTATCATTACACAGGCCACCTTTTAGAACAGCATCATTTGTTCCTTCATGTCCTCTCCAGGACTGGGCCTTCTTCTGTGGCATGGAAGCTAAAAAGGCTTCCTCCTACCCTCTGTCCTCTGAGAACATCTCTCTTTAATGTTTCTCATCAGGTTGGTCTTTCTAATTGGCTAACTTCTACCCAGGGAATTTTTCTTTCTAGAAAGTTCCCAGTATCTATAGAATCTCTCATAGGACCATCCCATCTTGGTCTCTGGCAACACACCATCCGAGAAAGCATCGGCAATGCCATTCACCCTGTGATCTGAGTGGGGTTTGAGTTGACTATAGGTCATATGTGTCTTACAGGCAATCGAGGACTTCTTTTTGAAGTTGGAGAGGCTGTTAAGGATGTGGAACTGACTGAAATCACTCCAGGTTATAGGTGGCAGATAGTCCCTAATGCCAGTTCTCCATCCGGATTTTGGTCAGAAGAAGGGCGACCTTTCAGGTATTTTGTAGCTAAAGTAGGAATACATAACAAAAATATATCTACTAACTTAGGTGAGTGAGGACCCAGGAAAGAAAGCAAAGGTATTTCTAGGGGATCGTTTGTCACATGAGCCAGTTCAACATGAGGCGTGTTTGACAATGTTCTCAGCCGCTGTTGGTCATTCTGCTGATCATATAACATTTTGTAGTGCACAATCAAATACTGGCCAACATGTAAAACCTGTATTTCCTGTAATTCTACACCTACTTTGGAGATAAGTTGTCTTCTCAGCCACGCGTCCACGTTGTCCTCTGCTGTGGTCATCGATTGTTTGAGGGATGGTACAGCTGCAGTGATTTGTAGGTGTGTGGAGGCTGAGGTGCTGAGCTCATGCAGGTGTGCTTGCTTTTTCTCCAATCCTAAGAATAATCCTGTGGTGGTTCCATAATGAGGAGATAAGTCCAAGGGCTGCTATTACTTCTCAGTGATTCAGACCTTGTTTAGTCTTGGTTGACTCTTTTCTCCTGTGTTCCAGAGCACGACTCAGTGGGTTCTTTGTGGCTCCAGAGACAAACAATTACACATTCTGGATCCAGGCAGACAGCCAGGCTTCCTTGCGCTTCAGTTGTTCAGAGGAGCCAAGGACTAAGGTATTCACTTCCTCTGCATTGCCTTTCCTTTCCTCACAGACCCTTACCCCTGAAAGAAGAAAGGATCAAAGATAAGGCTTCCCCCTTCTACAGCTGTGAAGCGCCATGTTGTACTGGTTGAGCATGGACATTAATTGCTGAAAGTGAATTGACAACAGTGGTATTGTAAGCCCAGGTTTATGCTACATTTTACAACCTTGCTAATAATATTTATCTCTGTGAAACAGGCATAGCTCCACTGTCTAGAGGAGAAAACTGAGGTTTTGAAGAGCTGTATGGCCTGTTTAAAACTGCTTGACTAATAAGAGAAGTATTCACAATTCAGAATCAGATTGGTCTGACTCAAAAACTTGTGCTCTTCCCGCTGTTTGGGTTAGCGTTGTGTAGGGATCCTCTATCAGCCTCGTACTTTTAGAAAGCCGCCCACATCCACTCGTGCCTTTGGCAGAGACCCACAATGTTCTTCATATTCTCTCTGAAACTAATTTGCTTGCTGGAGAGAGTCATGGATTTTGAGGAGCTAGCGCCATTCTAGGCCTCTCAAGGGTTTAATTCTATCTTTTTACAGCATCACACAGACATAGGGTGTTAGGACAGGGGCTGTCCTGGACTAGACCTTATAGATTCTAGTCCGGATACTGTGCGATTGAGAGAGAGAAAGGGGGAAGAGTGGAGAAGCAAATATAGCCAAGGGCCAAAGTGAGTGGGCTGGGTTGTTGGAGAGTGCCTAAGAATGCCGTGTTTGCAGCTCTTAAAGTGCTCATTATTTGAGAACAAAATGCGTGGAAGACTCATAGTGTTGACCCTGATCGCCTTGTTTGGGCACAGGTAGAAGTGGCCTCAGTTGGGGTTGGCATCGCTGACTGGTTTGACTCTTGGGAGCAGAGCGGGAACGAAGAGAGCTGGCAGCGGAGGACTGCTAAGCTAGAGCTGCGGGGCGGAGCCAAGTACTACTTGGAAGCAGAGCAGCATGGGATAGCACCCAGCCAGGGCATGAGTATTGGTGTCCAGATCCACAACACGTGGCTGAATCCTGATGTGGTCAACACTTACCTTCTGGAGAAACACCAGATCCGAGCCCGAGCCCAGAGACTTCCAGAAATACAGGTCTGTGTGTCTTTCCACCCTTGAAAGTGAGCCGTGGGAAGAGTGGAGCCGTCCTCGGGGAAAGGACTGCTGGCAGAAAATAAGGAAACCCGAGACGCAATTGCAATTCTGTTACAGATATAAAATAAAGTGCTGCCAAGGTTAAAATTTTTTCTTTACCTTTAGGAAAACCATTACTTATTTATGTATATCCCAATGTGGCTTCAAGGCTTATGTATGGAGGTCAGAGGACAACTTGGAGGGATTGGTTCTTTCTTTGACCATATCGGTCTTTAATATCCTTAGCCATTAGGGAAATGCAAATCAAAACGACCCTGAGATTTCAGCTTACACCCATCAGAATGGCTAAGATCAAAAACTCAAATGACAACACATGTTGGAGAGGATGTGGAGAAAGGGGAACCCTACTCCATTGCTGATGGGAATGTAAACTTGTATAACCACTCTGGAAATCAATCAGGCACTTTCTCAGACAATTAGGAATAGTGCTTCCTCAAGATCCAGTCATACCACTCCTAGGCATATATCCAAGAGATGCTCAAGTATACAGCAAGGACATTTGCTCAACCATGTTTTTGGCAGCTTTATTTATAATAGCCAGAAGCTGGAAACAACCCAGATGCCCCTAAACTGAGGAATGGATACAGAAATTGTGGTACATCTACACAATGGAATACTACTCAGCAATTAAAAACAAGGTCTCTAATATCCAGCACAGGTGGTCAGGCGCAGCAGCATGCGCTCTGACTCACTGAGAATTCTTACTGGCCTCATGAGTATGTATTTTAATGCATTCTTGTTATTGAGGTTATCTTTTTTTTTGTTGATTTATTGATGAAATATTTGACTTCTAGGTAAGTCTTTAATTTTTATTTTTAGATTTATTTTATGTGTGATTATTTTGGCTGAATATATGTCTGTGTACCATGGGTGTGCCTGGTGCCTGTGGAGGACAGAATAGGGTGTGGGATTCCCTGCAACTGGAGACAGTAGTTACAGTCGTGAACCACAACATGGGTGCTGTGAACCCAGATCCTTTTAATGAGTAACCTGGTAGCCAATGTTCAACTTCACAGCCTCAGGTATTTTTTCTTTTTCTTTTTAAACTTATTCCTTTAAGTAAGTTAAGGTCATTTCCACAAACACACAAGACACACACACGTTTATAACACATGAAGCACCATGACCTTCTGACCCATTCTGAGTTCATTTCTCTATGTGCTTTCATTATACGTTTAATCTGTCGAGTTTGTGCTTTGGGTCTTTTAGTTGTGCTCTGTCTCTATGTTGAGCAACTTCAGTATGCTGTCTGTTCGCTTTTTCTATACGAAGGTGAATCAATGTGGACTCCATCTTCTACAGCTTCTAGTTTAATACTAACGCAGGCACAAAGAACCACAGAGAAGAGGAGAACAGGGCAGGTGATTCATTAATCCTCTCTCAAAAGCGTAATGTGCTCAAGAGAGCACAGCTGCGGGAGCACAGTCAAGGTGGAATGATTGCTTGTGAGGCCATGGTATGCCATGAGCTGGCTTCTGCCTCTCAGGCCACTCCTGAGGGAACATGTGGTGGGAAGGTCCAAAAGTGAGGTGTTCCTTGGCCACACCGTTACACTGCACACTCTCAAAGGTGAGGTGTGCGTTGGCTACCTTTATACCACTTCCTCTTGGAAAGGCAAAACATAGACCATTCATGTCATTCCAAGAGAAGTTTCATTTGATGGTGATACTGTCTTCCAGTGGTTTCTCAGCCATGCATATTTAGAAGACTGAAACGGTAGTAAAATGGAGACAGCACGTGGAGGAGCTGGGCCTCTCCTGAGGCTGACGCTCTGCCTGAAGTCCCTGCACACTGCACATCAGTGATTCTGACTCTCTTGACTTTTTAGATGTTGAACGTGTCAGGGAAGGGAAACTTTTTCCTGACTTGGGGCAACGTCTCTAGCCAGCCAGTTCCTGCGAACGCCACAGCCCAGCAGGTGAGGGTCTTCTTCCAATGATGAAGGTGAACATGGGAGTTTTACGGGTGGCCTTTGGGCCCGGCCTTTGAACGACCGCATTTCTATTTATTCTGATAGATCCAAGCCACCCTCGAGGAGCTGCTTGTGGTGAAATGCAGTCTGAAACCAGTTTCAGCTCGTGTTCTGCTCCAGCTTGGATTTGAACAAGGTGTCTCCTGGGTTGACCAGTTGGGGTTTTCTCTTCTATCTCTGTCTCCCTTTTCTTTTCTTATGATGTAGAAGCCATCTCCATTTCTTGACCAAAGTGCTACTAGAATCAAATGCAAGCATGGGCACTGGATCTGGATGGAGTGGCCAGGAGCGTGGCTCTGCATGAGCGAGGGAGATGCTTGGGGTGTGTGTCAACCAAAGAAGTGTGCTTCCTGCAGTTTGGTGGAGAGAAACACTGCCAGAGAGTTTATTCTAAACAGGGAGAAGAGACTAGGGATACATGGCAATGGCTTTGTTTTTAAAAATCTTGTTTAGTTCAAAATTGAAATGTTTATCAGTGATTTCTGTGAGTGTGCTGATGGAGATAAAAATTCAAGGCTTGGCAGGTGCTCCTCACAAGCTCTTCAGTTGTGCCATACTGACACACCCCTTCAATTATAAAATGTTTTGAGACGGTTTCTCACTGAGTTGTTCAGAGCAGCCTTGAACTTGTGACCCTCCTGTCACAGCTTCCCGAGTGTGCAGCACTATTTCTAGCTGATACAAGAGAATTATTACATGAGAATGTAGACAAGACATTCTTAAACTGGGCTAGTGTGCTTTGTTGCCCAATCTCACCACTGGATGATGTATTCTAAAAACTCTTCCTAAAGTGAACTGAAAAGTTTTCTTGAAGAGATAGGGAAATGGGTCTGTTTAAGTGTATTTACTCTTCTTCCAGAGGACCCAGGTTCAGCTCTGAGCACCCACTCCAGCCCCAGGTGATCTGATACCCTCCTTTGACTAACATTCATTGGCTCCTGCGTGCGCATGGTACACTTACAATCACCTAGGCACACATGCACATAAAACAAATAAATTGATAATTAATTTTCTATTGATATTCCCTCTCTCTTGCTTCTAATCAGCTTCACATCTTGGCACACAGAGAAAATGGTATTATTATTCCATGTTCTGTGGCAGCCAGAAAGCGTTTCTCATAGCTAGAACCTCCCAATTGGAAGGTGCTGGGCTTCTGAATTCTTCCCACCTCTCTCTAGGCAGATGGGGCCGATGTTACTGTTCATTTCCTGTACACACACTGTGCCTCATGGCTATGCCTCTGTTCCTTTTTATTGAAATTATATACAGGCCTAGAAGGCTCCAGCTCTGATGGGGTCCTCACCAGTTCAACTGAACCCTTCTGTGGCAGATTCAGCCTCGGCCAACTTCGACACCTTATCCTAAACCCCTCAGCTGTCAACGAGGGCTATCAGCTAGATCAGTATCCATACGTGAGTGTCCGTCCTCATGTTTCTGGGCTTGGCAGGTCAGGAGGGGTTAGCATTGTTCTCTAGGCTGGAAGCTAAAATAACAGAAGCACAGGGGAATTAACTTTGCAATTTGTACAAATTTTGAGCCAAAGTTTTACATTTCTTAGCTGCTTCTCCAGGCCTCTACTTTTGCATTCTTACCTGAGAATGTTACCGTTAGCTGAAAGATCTGTGGATATCTTGGGTCAGATACTTTCTTTGCTCTCTAAGCCTGAGAAATAGTGCAAATCTTGCAGACAGACTCCAGGTTCCTGTGTGCTCTTAATATCTTAAGTACAACATGTCTCAACTTACTCATCTCTAAAATGGTTAGTGTTGTGGTCCAGCTCTCAGGAATGTGGTGAAGATTAATTCAATAATGCAGTCAAATGTTCTGCAGCAGCGGGGACACAGTTGAGGATAGATATCATGATCATTATTGCAGTTAATAGAAGTAATGAATGTATTGGCTGGCATACCTACCCCATTTCTATTTATCTAATTAAAAAATTTATATATAAGTACCGTATTTACATATATTCCACTCTACCCTCTTCCCATCCCAACTCCTCTTGTGTTCCCTTACTCTTCTCAAATTCATAACCCATTCTTTTAATTTTTGTTCACACACACACACACACACACACACACACACACACACACACACACACACACTTCAGAGTCCATTTAGTATTGCCCACGTGTATATGCATTTGAAGCTGACCACTAGGGATTGCATGACCTCTCAGAGGGATAGTCCCTGAAGAAGACTGATTTTTCCCTCTCTCAGCAGCCCTTCACTGCCTGTAGGTTTTCATTTAGGGGTCGGCCCTTGGAATGGGATCTTATCATTGTGAAGGTTTTTTTTCGGGATATCATATCGTTGGGATCTCATGGCTGCAGCTTCCCTGTCATATACAAAAGACACCACCTCAAAGCAGATGTTCTCTGGCTCTTAACATCTTTCTGATGTTTCTTGAGCCTTAGGTTGTCTTGTACATGGACCAGCCCAGGCTGGGCAACCCATAGCAAGTTGTTTTCTGCATTTTTGACTCGTCATGGATATCTGTGGTGGTCTCTGTCTGCAGTAGCAAGACGCTCCTTTGATGAGGGGTGAAAGCTACCCTTGTCTGTGGTACAAGGATAACTATTTAGACTGCACACTTATAAATAAATGTTAGTTATTTATAAATATTGCATAATAGTTATACTGGTTTAGGAAAGTTGACCTAATTCTTGGACACTTATTTTCTTAAAAATTATTTTATGAGATGTCTATGGTTACTTTTCCAGTACCTGTTTTCATATGTGCACAGGTGAGCGTGGAAGTCAGAAGGGTGCTTCAACTTCCCTGGAACTGGATTTACACATCATTGTGAGCCACCGTGTGGGTGCTGGGAATTGGACCAGGTTCTCTGGAAGAGCTGCCAGCACTCTTAATTGCTACGCCATCTTTCCAGCCCCACTTTAATACTGGTTACATTCTTGGTTTGCTAGCTCTTCCATCTTCTTTGGTTCTGGAAACCACGGTTATTATTTGTGGGATGCTGGAGTTCATGATATTCTGCATTCTTCCCAGTTGAGCTGTCATGGGAGTCGGACTAAGTGGCTCAGGTCTGAGCCCCATGCGTCTTCAACCTCTATTGCAGGGGAGTTCTGATGAGTTCTGAGTGACTGACATTTGCCCTCTAAGGGAGAGTTGGAAATGCACGGAAATAATTTGCTTGTCACAACGGGAGAATTGTTATTGACATTTAGTAAGCAGACTCTAGGGATGCTACTGAAGTCTCATACTGTAGAAGACAGCGTTCTCAATGGTGACCCTGCTTCCTCAATGGCAAGAATGTGGAGCTAGGAAATCCCTCCTGTAAAGGCTCCTCACGACAAATAACTTTCATTTGTATTGAGTTTATAAATCCGGTATTCTGGGAATTAGACTAGAAGAAAGGCTAGGACAGGATCAGTGACTTGCTGAAGGCCCACAGGTGCCTGTTAAAGCAGGGATTTTATAACCAACATACTTTAAAATCCTCATTGCTGAGCACAGGGCTGTATTTTGAAAAAGATCTCCATTGATTATCATGTTCTTTGGCCTCAGGGATGGGAGTTACTGTGGGTTTTTTTTTTAATCTTTTTTTTTTTGAGGAAGTAAAGAATAATCCTTTGTGCTTCCTGCTAGATGGGAAGCCAGAGGAAGTGAGGACCTGGACTCTTGCATAGCATGCAGCAAGGTCTTGTCACATAATATCCGCAGCTTCTGTCAGTGTTGAACTAAAGGGCATATCTGCTATCCACAGCTATGCCTTGCATACAAAGGCCACATGAACAGGACCTTGAAGATGATTGTTTCTGTATTATTTGGCTCCCAAAATATCACTAAGAACACCACCTGTGACTGGAGTCTCACAGAACCCTACCCTGAGAGGTAACTGTGATGGAAAAGTGTGGTGGGTTCTGCCTCCTGGTGTGGGTGGGTGGATTGGTTGCCTTGGAGGCAATGGTCCAGGTGAGATACTGAATATCCCATTTGGGCCTCAGATAATACTTGGGGCTTTGAAATTACTCTGCCTGACCAAGCAGACTGACTTGAGAGAAACTGTTACGAATATAGGAGTTGGACAGAATCCTAGCGTCACATTTGAGACAGAACTTTCAAGACGTATTAGACATATTAGGCGAAGAGTACTGGGGACTGGACAATCTGCATTTGACTGAAATGCATCCAGCTACTGGGTCTGTAAAATGAAGGCACCCGGTCCGTTGATTCTGCTCCCTATATGGACATTCCTCATGGGTGTTCAAGTTGTTTTAAACTTCAGTGAGCAAGTAATATCCAGGGTGGTGCTGTGGTTAGAGCCTGTCATGTAATCGGTTGATTATTCCATTGTTATTGGAAAGCGGCGCTGATGCCTTGTGTGGTAAAATAGTGACTGACGAGAAACGTGACTCACCTTTGTAGGTGAAGGCGGGCTGAGCCCAGGGTATTGGGTGCTGAGGAGGCCGGAAGGCCTGGCCCAGACACCCCTCCCGCTCTGCTTTGTCAGTTGGCAGTTCACTTGCATCAACCTCTGGGACACATGTGTGCATCCCTCTGAGGATCCACCATTTTCCCTGGCGACCTGTCCGCTGCTGGTTCATCGGATTGACGTCTTCGCCTTGGTCCCGGAGGCTGGCCTGCTCTACGTAGATGACATCGTTCTTGCAGATACAAATGTAACAGGTGATGGCCACCTCTGCTGTTCTCTTGGGCCCTGCTGTCAAAGGCTTACCTCAGACCTTCACACTAGATGCTGTTCTTCTTTCCCCAAGGGGAGGATGGGTGATTCTTCCACCCGCCTGCCTTGGTTGGAGGGCAGATAGGGTGGGGCATGTGTGCCCTTTCTGGCTAGTCCCCCCACTCTCTCCTATTTATCTCACAGTTCTATCTTGCTTTTTTAGTGCTTGTACTTTTATGTCACCACTTTACTACTCTTTGGCTTGGATGATTTGTTTTCCTCATCTGTGAAATGGGTATAATAAAGATTATTAAACCAAAAAGACATCAAGATTAACCAATGACTAATATAAAGTTACCCTTTATGTCTCCTGACCAAGGATGTCCTTAAAAAACATAAAAATTGTGATTGTTACTGTGTTAGGCCAGCAGGGTCTGTCCTTTTTCAGTTTACAGGATCTGTCATATACAGCGCTGGAAGCAATATACAATATTTGTTCTTACATAGGGGCTAAAGGTCTGATCTATGGCTCTCCAGATAGACAGCTGGTGCTGCAGGGACCAACCTATCTTTCTGTCCCCCAGACTCCTGCCACCCAGTTTGAGTTCGGTTCTGATTCCTTTCCTCACGAAGTCTCTTTCAGTCTCTTTTTGGGATGGTCTTCCCTGCTGGTTCTCAGGACACAGTGCTCATCCTGATGACGCCCACGGAGGATGGCCGTGCCTGAGCACAGGGGCCAAAGCTGATAATGCAGCTTCTCTCAAGCCCTCCCTTTTCTATTCTGCCAAGTTTGTTTCTTGTAAGTTTGGGCTCAGTTCTTCCTTCTTGCCTACCTTCTCACTCTATGGAGAGAAGAGAGCACTGTCACTTGTCATTTTATTTACAAAATGTGTAATTTTCTGAGCCTTTCCCCTAAAAACTGCAGACCTAACGGGAAGGAGAGATTGCAAGTGGCTCATGAGAGAATGATCGTCTTTGAAATCACATCACCTTTTTAAATTTAAATTTTAGGTATTTATTATGTGTGGCTCGCACATGTGTGCATGCCACAGTGTACTCGTGGAGGCCAGAGGACACCTTTGTGAAGTTGGTTCTCGCCTTCTACCTCTGAGTGGGGTCTGAGGTTTGAACTGAGGTCCCCTGACACACATGGCAAGTGACTGTATCTGCTGAATCATCTTGGTTGACCCCTCTTAAATTTTTTTTATATCATCTTTGATGTACATCAACATCCCATCTCTTGTTTGTTTTGATTGGGTCACCCCGACCCACTGCTAGTTGTTCAGACTTTGCTCTGGCACACTGAAAACGAGAGTGTTGAGATGATCAACCAAATGAGCAGCTGGCTGGAGGAGATTTGCAATGCCAAGTAGTGCCCAGATTTCCAGAGGGCCAGGGCAGTCAGTATTTCATATATTTAAGCGCGTTGTTTGGGAAACTCTAGACTAGACAACAGGTGCCTCTTCCTCCTTTCTCCATTATGTCATTCTGTCACTCTAAACCAGTGTGCCTCAAACTGTGGACCATGACCCCGTGAGGGCACCGTAGCATATCAGATATCTTGCATATCAGATATGTACATTCTGAGTCAACAGTAGCAAAAATATAGTGAGGTTGTAATGAAATCATTTTATGGTGGGGGGGTCACCACAATGAGGAACTTTATTAAAGGGTCGCAACATCAGGAGGGCTGAGAACCACTGCCTTGCCCTAAACCCTCAATGTCAAGGACCCAATGCCCTTTCTCACTGCCCTCGCCTTTTAAGCACCAGAGTTCCGTAGATCTAGAAGCATCCAGGGGAGAGGTAAGGAGGACAGGGAGGAAGGAGGGATGCAGGCAAGAGAGAAGGCTGGGATCGGTGAAGCAGTTTGCTTTCCTCTTTGTCAGGTTGCTCTGCTGGCACTAACTACCCCTCCCCAACCCCAAGTTTTAGTTAATGGCAATATGCACTCCATAATTAAGCCGATCATCACGATTAACAATATGCTGTCTTGTCTAGTCAATACAATATGGACTCATATTATTGTGCTTAATGGCCTCTCTGGAAGTTCTTTGCACGTACAGTGGTAGCTTCCATTACTGTTTTTATTTACAAACTGGATCACTGGTTTCTAGTTTCTCAGGTTGATGCTGGAACAGCCCGCCCAGGTGGGACTCTGGTGGAGGCAGTCTCTGTGGAAGGATTCCCTCCAGTCTACAGCATAGTCTCCTGGGTGGCGGGGTGTGGCTCAGAGCTCCCTCTCATCACTGCGAGGTAAGGAGTGGGTCCCTCTTCAGTACCCTCGGTTGGCTGGGGCGCACACAGGTGCAGCTTTTATCGGGGGTGGGAAAGCTGCCTAGCTTATGTTTAAGGAAGAGTCTCCTCTCAAATATCATGCATCGGACTGGCTATTTTGTTTAAAGACAAATTGCTGGGACCTGGTCGGTTTTAGGTAGGAGCTGAAAATTTGCATTTTCCGTGACCCAGTGGTACTGATTCAGCTGGCCCACTGCTAGATTTATGAGCCTATTTCTGTTGAATTTGTTTAAAGCTAGATCAATTTTTATGCTGATCAGAGTAAACACTGTTTTCCATTTCCTTCCTTAATTGCAGTCCCCGTATATCGATCTTGTTAGAATTCTTTTTTTTTGAAGTCTAAGTAGTTTTTTAAAATTATTTTTATTTTCATTAATTACACTTTGTATCCCCCTGTACCTTCCTCCATCCTTCCCTCCCAATCCCGCCCTCCCTCTTCCTCACCCTGTCCCTCTCCCAGTTAATTCTTTTGAGCAGTCTATAACAAAAATAGGCGTTTTTTGAGAACTTGCCAGCAGATGGCAGTAGAGCATCACAAGCGTGGCCTCTCAGTCGTGAATTGTCTCTGGTTGTAGTTACTAAGGATCAGCCTCCTTGAAGTTAAGGGCCCACATGTATGTTATTCTTTTAATTTCACTTAAACCCAACAGGATCAACAGAATTGAAATGCCCTGCCTTACATATGTACTTATATGTATAAATATGTGTATAAATACACATATAAGTTGTACGCGCACACACACACACACACACACACACACACACGCGCATGCACGCACACATGTTAGTGCCATATTGGCTTGCTCTCAGTTATTAACTATAAAATGATAAAAGCTAACCTGCACTACTGTGTAAAGGTTCATACTTAGAGTGTTTCTGATGACCTTCCACTCTGGGTTTTCTTCAAGTCCCTGGGCTCTTCCTGTGGCCATGATGGAAAAGGGGATGGTTTGTCTGGGACCTACCTTACAAAGAACAGCAATCCCATTCTTGACCTAAAAACCTCCTAAGATGTCTAATGTCATAAAGCCATGTACAGGGACTAGGACCTCAACCTGTGCTTCAACTCAAGCAATCTGCTCTAATCTCCTGACTCCTTCTCATTCTGTCTTCACCGGAGACCTCTCTCTACAACCTGCCTCTATTACTGCCCAAGGAAAACCGCTTCCTCTCTCTCATTGCCCCTGAAGTAGCTTCCCTTCCCTCTCTCTTATTGTGAGATCTGGGCATGTCCTATTCTTTCTCCGATTTGTCACTGTTTCTGCCATCCAGTTAGATATCACTTTCAAACATGGGTGCTTCCTTCTATAAACTGACTTTACCTTCTTTGTTTGGGATTAAAGGCTTGTTCCACCATGCCTGGATCTCAGCTTTTCTTTGCCTGAAATTTGCTCAATACAAGGCTAAGTTTGAACTCAGATCTTCTTGCCTCTGTCTCCTGGGATTAAAGTCTATATTCCAACTGGATCATATAGATCTAGAAGGTCTTTGGAGGTGATCTCTTACCAGAGCAGCCATGTTCTGAATTAAGATTCCTCTGCAGAGCACAACCAGTCAACTCACACAGTGACAGGACTGTGTTCCATCTCAGGTCATTCTGCCGTCATTTGGATCTATTTGTTTCTTTTTTTTCCTTTGTTTTTTTCTTTATTAATTACACTTCATTCACTTTGTATCCGCCCCATGGTTCCCTCCCTCCTCCCGTCCCAATCCCTCCCTTCCTCCACCCTCTGCATGCAAGCCCCTCCCCAAGTCCACTGATAGGGGAGGACTTCTTTTCCTTCCTTCTGATCCTAGTCAATTAGGTCTCATCAGGAGTGGCTGCATTGTCTTCTTCTGTGATCTATTTGTTTATCAAAAGCAGGGCCCCAAATGGCAGTGTGTTTGCATATAGGAAGTTAGAAAGGTGGAGTATATGCTTCAGCAAGGCATGCTGGGAGGAACATTTATAGATTAGAGCACATTGACTCTGGGTATGTAAATAAGGCTTCAGAAAGCCATGTCCATTTTGAACCAGAGGTGAGGTGGCAGGTGGGTGGAAGAATTGCTTGTTGCTCTGGATTCCTGAGCTCATAGGATCAGTGTCGGTGGTATGTTCTTAAAGAGCCTGCTGTTTGTAACACACGGTTCCTGCTGTCGGGGGAAGGGAGCATCCAATATCTGGGAGCGGGAACTCATGGCCTAGAATCACGGCTATGAAGAGGTGGATTTGGTCTGCCTTGCAAATCCTGATGGCTGCTGTGGCTAATGCTTTGCTTTTGGTATGCCACAGCTATGTGCCCACTGAGGGGACAGGAGAAGGATCTGAACTCATTGAGGTGGCAGCACAGAGACTTCAAAGGATCAGCCCGCCTTTGGGAGGACACTTCTTCCTCCAGCTCTCTGATACAGTGATACCTGGTAAAGAGACAATCGGGTGCAATGTTGGCCATGCACACATTGGGGTACCTAAGGAGAACAGGAGCCTGTGAGTCCAGCAGTTAGGATGATGGGTCTGAGGAAGGTACCAACTGTACAATCCCAACCTTTACATTTTGCAGATGGGGAAAGTGAATGAATTGGCTTCCTGAGGCTGTTGTTAATAAATTATCACAACTTTGGAGATTTAGACCTACAGAAATGTATTCTTATCTGGACTTGGAAGCCACACGTGAAGGTGTGAATAGGGTCCTTCTTGTCCCTGCTGGTGTGTTGGCTGCCTCTTTCAACCTGGTAGATGCTGCCATTTTTTTCGGCCAAAACCACACTGTTTTAACCTCTGCCTGTAGTCATAGCCTGTGTCCTTTGTCTCAAAACTTCCTCTGCCTTGGCCCTGAAGGACACACAAAATTTTATTGCTCAATTCATGATAACTGCTACCCCCACCCCCAGCCCTTAGCTTGACCATGTCTTCTATCGCGAGACAATATTTATTCATTATTTATTTATTTAGTTTTGGTGCAGGGGTGGGATTCACCCACTGAAGCCTCTCTGAAGGTCTTACAAATAATCAATGGCAGGTTCTAGATGTAAACCTGGGTATTTCGGGTTCAGCATCAACTCCTCTCGAGAATTTCCTAGACCAAAGCCCATTGTACCCATGTCCCTCAGAGTTAAATGTAGTGGCGCTGCCACTATCAAGAATCTTAGTGGTCACCCAAGTTTGGGAGAGATTAAAACACAATTAGCAAAGTTTTTAAAAGGGACTCCATAATATGCACTTTTTTACAAAGCATAGAATAAAAGAAATGATACCAATATTGCTCAATGATGTTAATGATACATATTGGTAGAGATGTGGGTTCTTCAGAAGGGACGCTAAAGGGCATTCAGGAAGGCTGTATGTGTAGCTGGCACATACCCCAATCCTATTTCCTGAGAAAGGGTTTCTGGAGTGGAAGGCAAACAGCATTGTGTTTACTATAATGGGACAACACAGGAAAAGGAAAAGCTGGCCACAGTGCCTTTGTCTCTGTGATATGAACCACCCAAGCTATACTCCTTACAAAGAAGAGATTATCTGCAGAGGTACTTTTCCGGTGTCGTGTTACTGCTTGAGGAGCCATTTGGGAAAGCCAGCCTTAGTCCAACATTCTAAAATGAGTACAGACCCAAAATTATGTGCAAATGCAGAGGAGTGCTTTTTAAATGATGGAGATGTTGTTGGTCTTGTAGAGATGCAGTGGTACATTATTAACCCTTTAGGGTAGTGTAGCATTCAAGAGGAAGGCTCTTGAGCAAGTTAAAAGCAGCCAGAATTTTAATCTAAGCCTGACTCACTGACTTGGCAAGCTTTCTAATATCGTTAGGGTTCATTTTCTTTATCCCTCAGGTAGGCACAAAGGTGCCCAAATGGTCCACCCCACAGGGCTGTTGGGACTAGCTAATGAAATGGAAACTTTTGGTAAAGTACGAAGCATGGAGATTTGTTATTTCTCTGTGGGGATGCGGAACGGAAAAGCAGGTGGCTGGGCTTAGAGGAGCTTCTAATAGAGAAAGCCAAGCGAAGTGCCAGAATTCCTCAGCTGGGGCGGCTGACTTTTATGGGTGTCAGCTGCTGTGTGCCACCCTACTCCCTGTGAAAGGTGGCCAAGTTTTCTCCATCCACAGGACCGGCTAAAATTTTCCAAGGGAAAGCCAACATTTAATTAGACTCTCAGCCACTACAAAGGTATGTGGAACTTATGTTCCGAGTTGATGGTTGAGACAGTTTTTGTCCGGCACAGCGTGTTTGCCAGGTGGCATAACACTGATGGAAGTATCTCTTTTTAAAGAGGGGGTATCAACTTCTGGGGACAGATAGAATCTTAACTAGGGTAGAAGGTTCCTTTGTGTGATATTTTGACTCTGGAGGTCTCCTGCACATTTAGTGTGCATCCTGGTATTTACTTCCGTTTATCCTTGATGCTGACACCAGCAATGCACATTCATCAGCATCACGTTTTCTGCACCAAACACTTGCCTCCCAGATGTCCCAGTGCACCTGTCAGCCAGACAGCTTCACAAGCTATTGCAGGACAAGGCTGATGAGTTCACATCTGGATACCTCCATGCCAGCGACTTCACCGTGATGAAGGACCTAAATTCCTGCTACGAACATGTGTGGACTCTTTCCTGGACTACTCAGACTGGGGATTTGCCCAACTTTATCAGGGTAGGTAGTCCCAACCTTTTTGTTGTTTGTGGTATAGATTTGGGACCCTGGAGAAATTTTGTAAAAAGAAGAAAGTCAGGACTGTATGAGTGAAAATGGTCATAGGTTATTACTTTTATTTGTTGGCATGTTTGGAATATTCTAGCAAAGGGAATCCATACCGTACTCTGATGGTTTCAACATGAATTTCATGGCTCAGATCTCATCTCACGAAGCCCAGTCCTTCCTTTCCTAACTCAGGGCAGGGAGAGGAGCTGTTGGTCAGTGTCCACCACATCAAGTCCCACATCTGTTATTGGATAATTTCAGCAGATGTGATCCACTTGGAACATCAATAGGCAGATGGCATGGCAGAAGGGAGTGTAGAAAAGGATTTGCTGTCTTTGGATAATGACAAAGCCAGATGCTCTTGCATATTGAACATTGAAAAAATAATCTAATGATCATCTAGTACTTGCTTATTATAAAAATGAAGCCCACGATGAAGTTTTAACCAAAATATACGGCAGTGTGAGATATATGATTTTTCAATCCTGAAGAGAGGTGGAAGAAGAGTGTTAATCTTTGCTCAGATCTCAGAACACCGTTTTCTTATGTTCTATTTTAGTATTTTAAGTTACAAACTAGTAAGACAGGCACATAGAAGCAATATAACTCAATATTTAACATGTTGGCTTTTTGTGCCTTTTTGGACACCTTTTCTTGCAAAGGAATATCCCTGTGTCTTACTTCAACTTTCATTAACCCCTTTTTATTTATAAAAATATGTATGTACATATTACATATTTATATATTATGTAAAATTATTTATACATTATTATTTGTATTATATGTATATTATTATATTTAATATATTTTATAATAATTTCTTATTATTAGGTTTCTAGATTAAAAATTTCATATCAACTCAAACTATGAGATTATTTCAAATGTAATGTGGAATAAAAACTCACCCATTTGTTTTCATCAAGATGAGATTTCTCTTCCATAACCAAATTCATCAGAAGTGTAACTATCTCAGGTCTCAGATCAAAACCTTACTGGGGTGAATCCTACTGTGACTGCTCGTGTAGTATATGATGGCGGAGTTTTCCTTGGACCCATCTTTGGAGACATGTTGGCTACTGCCAACCAGGAGCCTCAGGTAAGAGTGGCCATCAGGTCCAAGCGTACTTCAATTTGACTTGTTTTCAGTGTAAGCCAATTGGTTCTACTTAAGTGACTCAATTTTTTTTTTCAGTTTGGTTTGCTTCCACAGAATTTATGCTTCTATGAAGCATAATGACTAAGTACAGAAACTGAGAATGGATAACTATAATTATTATTTTTCTAAGTTTATTATTATTATTATCGTGTGTATGTGTATGTTACGATGTGTGTGTTGGGCGGGAGATCACATGCCTTGGTGTGCATGTGGAGGCCAGTGGACAATGTGGAGTTGGTTCTTTTCTTTCACCTTTACATGGGGTCTAGGAATTGAACTCAGGTCATTAGGGTTGGGAGGCAAGAGCCATCTTGCTGGTTCCCATTATCATTATTGTCTTTTTAAAGATTTTTATTATATATATATGTGTGTGTGTGTATACTCTATCTGCATGTACACCTGCATTCCAGAAAAGAGCATCAGATCTCATTATAGATGGTTGTGAGGCACCACATGGTTGCTGGGAATTGAACTCAGGACCTCTGGAAGAACAGACAATACTCGTAACCACTGACCCATCTCTCCAGCCCCCACCGCTACTTTTTATCTTTTGAAAATAAAGCATTTCCAATAAAGTTGAAGGGTTCTTTGTTACCTGTGCCATTCAAGCATGCCTTTCCTTCTTAACAGAGCTGTCATGGCATCTGGGTGTGTGTTTAGCCCATTTTAACAATCGTACAAAATCAATCAAGTCATATCTTGTTACCTTCCCCGTTTCTAAACCATCTTTGAGTTGGCACTGGTTTCACTGAAAAGGAGAGATGCAAAGTCTTATCTTAAGGGCTTTCCATGTCCTAGGACAGAGGCAACTTTGAATCAAATGTGTAAATACACTTTGGTCTGCAGGGAAGGTGGGTGGACAGAGCTTATTTTCGTTGTCTGTATTAATGAAAGAGGAAAAGGTAGTTCTCATGAAGTGTGGGCCTAGTGATAGAAGGCTTTTGTATATTCCGAGTTTGTGAAATTTACTGCCAGATGACAGGAGGACACTTTTGATAAACAATGTATCACATTCAATCATGCACAGTTTAGGTGTCTACAAGGGTCACAGAGCCCAGGAGTTCAAGGTCAGATTGGGAATCCCAGAAAGGACTCCTTTTCAGAAAGCCATATATTTAACATACGTATTTGCTCAAATGGATCTGTACCTCGAGAAACATTTACTGTGCTCTGAATCTTTCATTTTTATGTAAGGATTTTTCACTGAGAAAATAGAAAAAGGAAATGAGGATATATGAATCATAAAGACCTTTTGATTTAGGAAATGCTCACACTTTCGTGACTGCCTCTGTGTACACAAGGACCATACGTTAGCTTTGAATTCTCTTACCTCCTTCCCCCCAGGTGGCCGTACAAGTGAATGACATACCAGCTCACTGTTCAGGCTCCTGCTCTTTCCTGTACCAGCAAGAGTCAACTCCCAGAGTGGACTATGTGTGCTATTCCCTTGGTATGCTTTGGAAATGGAACTTAGACTCAGTGATTATTTTAGAGGCTGTGTAGTGGGTGGGAGTATCCGCATCCTCAGCAGAGATGGAGGCAAAGGAGGCCGCATTTTTGGTCCATTTAAGGAAAAGGATATTGTTTCTTTTTTTTTCTTTATTTTTATTTTATGCACATTGATTTTGTTTGCACGTGCGAGGGAGCCAGATCCCCTGGACCAGGAGTTCAGGACTTACGGACTGTTGTGAGATGCCTTGTGGGTGCTGGAAATTGAACCTGGGCCCTCTGGAAGAGCAGCCAGTGCTCTTAACTGCTCAGTTTTTTTCTCCATCCCAGATATTGTTTCTTATTTGGAATATGTGTGTGGTTATTAATTTCCTTCATTTTGAACTTCCTCTATATTATTATTGACTATTTTATTAAGTTATGGCATTTCACTGGTAGTTTGAGGAAATTGAAGGTGGGGATTGTCTATCAGAATAACAAATGCTGCTGCCTAAGTCAGCTGTAGATTTTTTCAGTTTGGGGAGGGGAAGCTGAAAGAGAGCAAGCATTTGATGTTGGAGTGAGGTCTCTTAAATGGAGTGTTTGCACCGATTTTGGGCTTGACATTTTCTTCCTACTACTTTTTAGGTAGCGATATCCACCTACTGGTTTATTTTACTGGAGCTGGTTTCCCTAGAGATCCCCAGTTCTTACAGGTTATGGTGAACAAAGCAAGTTGTGAAGTTCTTTTCTCAAATGAAACAAACGTGGCCTGTGAGACGGAGCTGCTACCAGTTGGAGTGCACCCGATCTTGATGCTGGTGAGACCTTCGGGCCTCGCTGTTAATGCCAGTGGAGAAGGCCTCTTCCTGCGAGTGGAACCCAGGCTAGATGCTGTGGAGCCTTCTATAGCTGCAGAGATTGGTAAAATGGGTGGGGCCACACTGTGCACCTCCCCTCCAAAGAAGCTAGAGTTCCTGTTTATCTGCAGAAAGCTAGGCCTATACCATGATAAATTTCACATGTTTTGTGATTGACAGCTCTTTGTTTCCTAAGCATTTCTTCCAATAAAGAATACTTGAGCCCTGAAATGGATGTTCTTGGCACATCAAGACTAGAATTTTGGCTAGCGATATCATGTGTAATTGGAACATGAGTCACTTGGATAGTCATTCATCCTAAACACTCAAACCCTCAAACCCTCAACGCCAATGCTACTTCTAGGTGAAAGGTGACTTGCCTGAGGCTTCGAAAGAAAGGAGATGGAGCTCAAGTACAAAACTGAGTTCTAGGCTGTCATTGCTCACAGGTTCTCCGTCCTCTGCTGCCTTGCCTTTAAATGGCCTGACAACACCTCATTTGTGACTTACCTTGCTTTCTGTGAGAGTAAATGATTCAACAGATGGCAACACACATTTGAAAGTAACAGCATTTGTCAAATGTAGTGTATAGATCATGCCCACAGCTAGGAACTTTGTACATAATTTTTTCCCCATACAAGCCTCTTCAGTATTCTTGGATACTTGGCTAGCATGCAAATACAACTACTGTTTTCACAGTGCAAGAACAGAGGACAGTGACATTTAGCGATATCGGATCCATGGATTGGATCTTATGTCCATGTCAAAGATTTCCAAATTTTGTTATTTTCTGAAGAACAACACTAGTTAAGAAAAATCACAGCTAGACTATAACAGGCTCAGAAATACTCAGGCTTATGTTTGCTAATGTATTAACTGTAGAATATAATGCATGGTTCATTTTCTTTCTTCTTTTATTTTAGAAGTTACTTTCTTGGTAGTTTTTCTTTTTTATACTAATTACAGTTTATTTACATTGTATCATAGCTGTAGCCCCTTCCCTCATTCCCTCCCAATCCCACCCTCCATCCCTCATCTCCTCCCATGCCCCTCTCCAAGTCCACTGATAGGGGAGGTCCTCCTCCCCTTCCATCTGACCCTAGCCTATCAGGTCTCATCAGGACTGGCTGCATTGTCTTCCTCTGTGGCCTGGTAAGGCTGCTACCCCCTCATGGGGAGGTGATCAAAGAAAGAGCCAGCCACTGAGTTCATGTCATAGACAGTCCCTGTTCCCCTTACTAGGAAACCCACTTGGACACTGAGATGACATGGGCTACATCTGTGCAGGGGTTCTAGGCTATATCCATGCATGGTCCTTGGTTGGATTATCAGTCTCAGAAAAGACCCCTAGGCCCAGATTTTATGGTTCATGTTGCTCTCCTTGTGGAGCTCCTGTCACCTTTAGGTCTTTCTATCTCTCCCTTCTTTTGTAAGATTCCCTGCACTCTGCCCAAAGTTTGGTTATGAGCCTCAGCATCTGCTTTGATATCCTGCTGGGTAAAGTCTTTCAGAGGACCTCTGTGGTAGGCTCCTGTCCTGTTCCCTGTTTTCTCCCTCTTCCAATGTCTGTCCCATTTGCCTTTTTGAATGAGGATTAAACATTTTTACCCAAGGTCCTCCTTCTTGCTTAACTTCTTTAGGTGTACAGATTTTAGTATGTTTATTTTATATTATATGTATAATATCCACTTATAAGTGAGTATATACCATGTGTGTCTTTCTGCTTCTGGGATACCTTACTCAGGATGATCTTTTCTAGATCCTACCATTTGCCTGCAAATTTCATAATTTCATTGTTTTTAATTGCTGAGTAGTATCCCATTGTGTAAATGTATCACAATTTCTGTATTCATTCCTCAGTTGAAGGGCATCAGGGTTGTTTCCAGGTTCTTGCTATTATGAATAAAGCTGCTACGAACATGGTTGAGCAAATGTCCTTGTTGTGTACTTGAGCATATTTTGGTATGTGCCTAGGAGTGGTATAGCTGGATCTTAATAATCTGGATTTTGTCATTGTGGATTCTGGTGGCTCAAAGCCTGAAGCTCAGAGTACAATCTAAAGAGATCCATTGTAGCCAGAGTCATTGCTCAAAGGACAAGTTTGATTCTGATTCTGTTTTGCCTTGGGTGAATGAGTCAGGCGGCCCACCCCTTCTCATCTCCGCACAGAAGAGCAAGCTCCTTGCAGTGGTGATAGGAAGGAGCAAGGAGATGTGTTTCGCTCAGAGTGAGAGACCATATTCTTCATTATTCAGTGAGTTATTGCCTGGAGGGTAGGGCTTATTGCAGCCTTCTGACTAGATTTATTAGAGGTTTGATCTTTCAGAGTTACTTTCGCAGCTCGGGCCATACTGCTTGATGGTAGACATCTTTCAGGCAAGCAGGTGACATAATCAGCCACGTAGAGTGATTTTCACAGATAGGCAACTCGCTGCTCCAGTTTGTCTGGGATTGGCAGTGTTCACAGGATGCAAGGCTGGAATGAAGCACTTTCAGTGCAAAGAATGAGACCAGGGGAACTGGAATGTTATGAATGCCCCCGTCAGGTAATGTAGCAGCAATAAATGGTGAAAAGCTTTGAAGGGCTTGGAGAATCATGCGTCATCTTTTCACATTTTAGCCAAAGTTGTGAGACTCTGAGAAGGGATAATTTCACATGCACATGAAGTGCTTTATGAAGACTAAGGCAGTAGGATCTGGGAGAGACTCTTGTTGTTGGTTTCCTTGTTATTGCATTTAGACTTTCCCAATGAAATCATTTCCTGCTCAGTCAACTAGACTGCGTCAATGCTCATTGTGGCCTGTGTACAGCACGATGTGGGATGATGATGAACTTAGTATTTCAAGTGTGGCTCTGGGTAAGTAGTATCTGTATCACCTGGGAGCTTGTTAGAAGGGCAGAATCTTCTAGACCTCCTGAATCAACCTGTGTTTTATCAGAATCATTAGGATGTCTCTATGAATAATCTAGTTTGTGAAACCCTGCTATGGGGATTTAAAGAGAACCAGGCTAGGCCTATCAAAAAGGAATTTAAATAAGAAGCAGAGCACGGAATGAATAAATATAAAAATGAGGTCTGTAATATTCAAAGTCACCACTTACCCTTTCTGCAAGATTCTTCAATAAAAACTTTTGAGGATAGTCTTAGTCTTTCTTACAGACTGGTTAGTTCACTTTTGGGCTAAGACAGAGCTGCCTTCTCTTGGGCACTGGCTCTTGTGAAGCACACATTTTCAAATATGAATGGTCGAGTTTCACTACCTCTGTAATTTCTCACAACTGCCATTGACAAAATCATGATCAGGATAATTATTTAGCTCTCACCATGCATCAGAAATTCTCAGTGCTGTGGTATGGTAAATAAAGATAAATATATGCTCTTGGATAGATGATGGGTCATAAGGATGTAGAACAAAAATAATAAGGGGAGGGCATGAAGAGGAAAGGAGGACTTTATTGAGATAGGATGCCCATTAGCATTCACTGGAGGATTGACATAAATGGCACTGGAGAATAGAGGCCAGGGTGAAGTGAAGGAGAAAGCCTGAGGGAGATCTTGTGGAAGAGAACAAAACACAGAAGAATATCATGGCGTCTTGACTCAGAATCAGCTTGGCTTATTTGGAAACATCCAGGGTGTTACTGTAGCTGGAGGGAATCTCAGTGTGCTTTTGATTTGCATCTAACTCACAGTCGAAGATCTTGAACATATTTTTTCATGTGCTTCTTGGCTATTTCTATTATTGTCTGTTAGTTCATGTGCCCATTTAACATTTGCATTCTTTCGTTTTTTGTGATATTTTGAATTCTTTATGTATTTTGGGTGTTCTTTGTCATCTTTTATTCCATTTTGTACCCTGTCTTTCTATTGTTTTCCTTTTCGCCATGGAGCCTTTTAATTTGATACAATCCTTTCTCTATTCTCACTATGGTTTCTTGAGCTTTTTGAATCCTGTTTAGAAAGTCATCATTATGCTTACACACATTTTTTTTATCATTTCTCTTATTTTTGAGATTATAAAGTAATTACATCTTTTCCCCTTCTTTTTCCTCTTTCCAAACCCTCTCATATACCTTCTTTGCTCTCCTTTAAACTCATGGTCTCTTTTTCATTAATTGTTAAATACTTATATTCAGAGTGTTTTCCTATGTTTTTCTTTAATATGTTTTCTTTAGTATTTTTCCTAAGTTTTTCTTTCTTTTTTCACAGTGTTAGGTCGTACATTAATGCCTTTATCTATTTTGATTTGGTTTTTGTGCCAGGTAAAGAATAGGGATAGACATAAGTAATGGTAGGGATAGAGTAAGTAAGTAAGTACATAAATAAATAAGTAAAGACTATGTTCTTAGGTGAGTGATGGGAAATGTGTAGGACAAACATAAAGATGGGCATGGAGCATGAGAGGAGTGGAGGAGTCTCATTCTTATTTATGTGAAGATGTCATTTCCCCAACACCACTTTTAAATTCTTTTCCCATTGGGTGTTATTAGCATCTTTATCAAGAATCAGATGGCTACAGCTGTGAGAGCTTACTTTCGGGTCCTCTATTCTGTTCTACTGGCGTACCCGTCTGCTTTTCTGTCAATATCATGCTGCTGTTACTATGGCAACTTCAATCTTCTATTTGGATGTGCAGTTACCATTTTACATATTTGGGAAAATACTAGTAGCATAGCTAATTAAAAGTGGATTTCTGGCTCAGAGGTTATATACACTTAAAAATTTGATAAGTAGCCGGGTGTGGTGGTGCTTGTCATTAATCCTAGCACTCAGGGAGGCAGAGGAAGGCAGGCCACTGTGAGTTCGAGTCCAACCTTGTCTACAAAGCAAGTTCAGGACAGCCAAGGCTATACAGAGAAAACCTGTCTCAAAAAACCAAAAAAAATAAAACAAATTGATAAATAGTGCTGGAAAACTTCTCGGTGATTAAAGTGCTTGCTATACAGAGACTGGATCCCAGAAAGCCCACTTAAATACCAGTGAACATCTGTTCTGTATGTAAATGCAATCTGAAGACACAGACTGCATTCCTTGAGTAAGCTAGCTAGGGAAGTTAGTGACCTACATCAGTGAGCTCTGAATTTAACTGGGTGGATTTCCTTTAGCGAATGAGGGGAAAGAGCTGTGGAGGATGATTTCTGACATCAGCCTCTGGTCTCCACACGCCTGTGCACATACGTGTATGCGCACCCACACACATAAACGTGTGTAGTCACACATGTGAGAACACTCATATAGACAGACACCACACACACACACATACACACACTCTCACATTTGGAAAATAAAATAGAACATTGATAAGTAAGTCTAAAAGTTTGTATAATTTTTTCCCATATGATATCCATTGCCTACATCTTGCCTGTATCTTACTAATATGTTTTTTTGCAACGTTTTGATGTTTAACACCTAACAAAGGAAAAATAGAACATATTTTAGGAGGCATTTATTAGTTTCCTTTCTGTGATGTTTGCTCATCTCAGTCTTTCTTTCCAAATTTGATTACTGTTCTTTATTGTTGATTTTAAGAACTTCTAAATATTTTAAGTGTATTTATCTAATTTATATATTTTTTTATAATTCACAAGCACTTTTATGTAATAAAGTGTGTTTATAGCTTTAGAGATTGTAAAATACTCAGAGTGGGCTTTTCATCTCTGAAATGATGTGAAAATAAAATTCCTCTGTGTTTTCTTTGATTCTTTTTCCATTTACTCTCTTTATGTCCAAATATTATTTTATTTGTACTTTGCTTTGGATGAAAGATGGGAGCCCCAAATTCAGGTTTTATCGTTTCTCATGTGGCTGGAGTGAAGCCACATTTTCATCTTGTCCTGTAGACTTGCTTATCAGAGCTGCTTTCTGTATAGCCCGTTCTGCCTGCTCCGTCTGAACATGTGCTGATTTTTTTTTATTGTGTTTGATTTTTTAATTTTTTTTTTTTAGTGTCCTTAGAATGCCTCTTTACTCTTTTTTTTTAAATCATTTTATTTTAAACCTGCAGTGGTGCTGAGAATGTTTACAAATCTCTAAGTGGTGTTTAAAAAAACATTTTCTTTCTCTAATCTCTCCCATCACATCCTCTCACAAGTACACAAACCATCTCAGCCACTCCCCAGTTCCCTTTTTAATACCCTGAATGATTCTGAAAGACTTTGTCATTCCCCAAACACCACCCTAATGGTGGTGGACTCCAGGCTCCTCTTCTTGCCAAGTTGAAGGGAGTTCAAATGTTCTATCTAAGTCTAATGACAGCAAAGATGTGTATAATAGATGATGTTTATGCTGTTCTAAAAACTGCCAAGGCAAAGAGGGGTTGTGGGATTCTGCGAAAACAAGGGGTCTTTGGAAAACTTACTGCAATCTGGACTAACACAGGGATTCTGTTTCAGCATCTGTAGCCTGACCGTTATGTGTACATGGCTGTACATGTAACTGAAAGTCAACTTATTATTATTCACTTTGTTTCCTAGCTGTAGCCTCTCCCTTTTCCCCTCCCAATCTTACCCTCCCTTCCTCTTCTTCTCCTATGCCCCTCCTGTAGTCCAATGGTAGGGGAGTTCGTCCTCCCCTTCCATCATCTGGAGGGGACAGGAGCTCCACAAGGAGAGCAACAGAACAAAAAACTCTAGGTACAGGGGTCTTCTGTGAGAGTGATACTCCAACCAAGGACCACGCATGGAGATAACCTAGAACCCCTGCACAGATGTAGCTCAGTGTCCAAGAGGGTCCCCAGTAATAGGAACAGAGACTGTCTCTGACATGAACTCAGGGGCTGGCTCTTTGCTCACCTCCACCTGATGGGGGAGCAGCATTACCAGTCCACTGAAGCTAGTTCTGATGAGGATGAGACTTTTTTTTTTTTTTTTTTTTTTTTTTTTTTTTTTTTTTTTTGCTGTTCACTTTTCAATGAACTTTAAAATCTTGTCTAATTTATATAAAAATTCCACATTGCCTTATTGGAATCATTTCTATGCTTTTTATGTTTAATTCAGAGAAATTACAATACTTATTCTTTTTACCTATTTATGTTTTTTTTTCAGTTTTAATATAATCTATTAAGGCCTTCAGCAGTATTTTAAATTTTCTTTCAATGTTTTTCTGTTAAGTTTATTTATAGATGTTGAATCTTTATTGAAAGAAAAATAGAAGAAAAATTATGTTCTTTTTTCTACTTTTCCTCCTTCTATTTCCCCTGTTGGAAACCCTTTTAATTTGTTGGATTTAATAATGAGGAAAATCAGGACGGGTGAGCTTGAGGCTGATGCTAAAAATGAGCTGCCTCAGGTAGCAGCAGAGCTCGAGGTCCTTGCTCTGGCTTCATCGCTCTTTCTACCATCATGCTTTCACTCACTGTTTCTTGGGAAAGACTTTGTTTCCAGGACTGGGCAGAATGAATTTAGAATATAGGGCAGAACAAGTTTTCAGATAATATGTGCTTCTTTGACTCCTGTCTGTATATATCCTTACATTTTGTTCATAAAGGTCTCCAGAATGCCTCACTACTCTTTCTGCCCTCACTCACCATTTCTTCCTTTATGTGTGATAATTTCTACATTTCAATTCAGTCTTTTCCTGCAGTTTGAGCACTGCCTTGCATTTTGACTCGAGTCTACTGTTTCAATTTCTTTTAAATTTTTCCTGTAAGTAACTTTTTTTCTGCCTATGTGGCTATATGCATTTGAAAATGTTGCTTCTATTACAGGAGGACTGTGGGTTACCATCCGAGGCTCCAGTTTGGAAAGTGTTAGCCTGGTGTTATTTGGAAATCAGTCATGTATCATTGACAGCATTAGAAGCAATTCACAACAAATTCAATGCAAAGCCCCACCCAGGGTAAGAAGACTCTTTACTAATGTAATATCCTATATTAACCTGTAAGCCCCACCTACCCAAGGACCAGGTGACTTCTGGGATGCTGGGAGTTGTAGTTCTTGGAATATAACAAAGCCTCATCTGGAAGTAGGGTTGCCTATGGATTTTTCTTTATAAACCCTGCAACATGTGTTTCTGGGCCACTCAGCTGGTGAATTCCGGAGTGGTCCTGACCAAAGTCCATCTTTTGGTTAGTATTTAATATTTAATAAAGCTTGCTTTAAGTTTGGCCCCAGATGGTGGAATTTATTTTTTCTCAGGCTAATCTCCCGGGCCGGTTAGTTAGCTCTTTTGGGTTTCTTGTGGAGCTTCTGTCCCTTCTGGGTCCTTCTCTCCTTCCCCCAACTCTTCCCCTCCCTGAACTCTGCCCAATGTTCCAATGTTTGGCTGTAGAGCTCAGCATCTGTTCGGTCATTGCTGGGTGGAGCCTTTCAGAGGATAGCTATGCTGGGCTCCCATCTGGAAGTGTAGCAAAGTAGCATTAATAGTATCCGGTTGGCTTTCTCCCATGGAGGGGAGTGGTCTCAGGTTGGATCAGGCATTGGTTGGACATTCCCTCCGTCTCTGCTGTATCTTTATATTTACACATCTAGTAGGCAGGGTATATTTTGGGCTGAAGTTTTTGTGGGCAGTTTGGTGTACCCCTCCCTCCACTAAGAGTCCTGTATATTACAGTTCTTTGATTCCCCTCTTATAATAAAAGCCTACCATGTTTTAAGTGAATTTCCTTATGTTGTTACTTTTTTAACTGAAGTTCTGTATCTTGGTTTGATTTAGGCTGTATATCTCTGGGATTTATTCTGTAGATTTTATTTTGTCAGTTCCATGTTTTCTGTTACTAGTAAATTCACTATATCCTAGAATTCATATTTTCTCTCTTTAGACTTAAAAATTGTTTGACATTTTCATACATGGATATAATGTATTTTGATGATGCTTACTCACTCCTATATTCCCTTGGCTCTGTTCTACTTCCCCTGGGTTTCTTTCTAAATTCTATCACTTAGGGTTTCTTGAATGAGCATAAGGTGGGGATGGTTATTTAGTAGGGCATGAGAAACTTCCCAGTGGCTACACCACAGAAGAATTTTCCAGCAGCCATTAATTGCCAGTAGGTCCTCAGTCAGGATAGAGTCCTTCTGAATGACTTCCCACATCGATGCTGGAGTGTGGATGGCCTCTGTCTTATATGTGTCTTGTTTAGGTAACTGAAGCTTCAGCGAATTCATGAATGCGACGATCATATCATGCTTAGAAGACAGCATTTCATAGCATACCTCCTCATCCTTTGGCTCTTACATTCTTTCCACAGCACTTTCCTCCATGTTGCTGGAGCCTTGAGGGTTAAGAGTGGTGTCTCTTTATTTTATTATTTAATCTGTCAGACAAAAAAACCTTACAAAAGACAGCACATGAGGAAATTTTCTGAGTATTTCCACATCTGAAACTACTCGCACAAATGATGGATAGTTTAGCTAGATATAAACAATACTGAAAGTACCTTACTGCCCAGAAACAATTACTATGTTAAGTGCACATCGCTCTTACCTTTTAGGGCACAGTTAATACTCTTAAATACTGCATTTGTCTGAATTCTTGACTCTCTGCAGGAGCTGAGGGAGCATGTTGAAAAAATATTCCATGATCAGCAATTTTCAGATTGATTCTGCTTAGAGTTTTCCTTTACCCTCAGGTCCAACCAAATTTGAATTTTACTGGGACAGGAACTCCACAAGGACCAAATATATCTGGGCACAGGGGTCTTTTATGTTTCTCCAACCAAGGGCCATGCATGGATATAACCTAGAACCCCTGCTTATATGTAGCCCATGGTAGCTCAGTATCCAAGTGGGTACCCTAGTCAGAAACAGGGACTATTTTTGACATGAACTCAATGGCTGGCTCTTTGATCTCCCCTCGACCTCCCCTCTCCCTCCCCGAGGAAAGAGCAGCCTTACTAGGCCACAAGGGAGGTCATTGCAGCCAGTCCTGAAGAGACCTGATAAGCTAGGATCAGATGGAAGGGGAGGAGGACCTCCCCAATCAGTAGACTTGGAAAGGGGCAGGGAGGAGATGAGGGAGGAAGGGTGGGATTGGGAGGGAATGAGAGAGGGGCTCTGGCTGGGATACAAAGTAAAGAACCTGTGATTAATATAAAAATAAATAATAAAAAAGATTTGAATTCTAAAATTGATTTTCAGGGAAAAGATGGATACACCGTGAATGTGTCTGTGATCACTGGAGACCACTCTGCAGTACTTCCCAGAGCATTTACTTATGTCGCATCATTAAATCCAGTGATAGTGTCTTTGAGCAGAAAAAGAAGCAGCCTAGCAGGTAAGATACATGTTACTTTAAGCCCATTTTCACTTCAGACCTTTGATCCTATTAGAAGTCAATTAATGGACTGTGGAATTTGATTTACTATTTTATTTATTTATCTGACACAGGATCTCACTATTTAGTCCAGTTATCCTGGATCTCTATTTAATAGTGACCTTGAACAATCCTTGATTTACTCTTCTATGTGTTAGGATCACAGGCATTCAAACCAAATTCAGCCCATTGTGTAACAGAAGGAAAAAATTTTCAGGTTACCTGTCAAAAATTAACCTTATATCTGATTTCTGTGAAAATGGGACTATTCCCTCCTGAAAATGAACGAGTATTCGATAAATATTTATTGAGCAACTATTTTTTTTTTTTTTTTTTTACTTCTGCCGCCCATGTATACATTCACAATAGATTTCAGTCCTTAGCAGTAATTTATGGCTTCAGTTCACAGACAAGGAAACTAAGGAATAGAGTTTAGCACTCTATTCCTAAGCACCTTTAGCAAGTGATGGGGCCGAGATTTAAACACTAATAGTCTGTAGGTCCCAAGCACTCAGCGCTTTACAGTTAGAATATAGGTTTTGGTGGTAGGTTCTATTGTGGCAGTTTAATAGAGTTATGGAACAGGAACTCTGAGTGCCCAGAAATTCTTGTTTTTTTAAGACTTACTTTGTATAAAAAGAATATTAGAAGCACTTTGCACATGAAATAGTTTTACGTTTATTTGGAATTCACATGACGTGCTGGAATAGAATTATAACGATTTTTTATTAGGTTATTCTAATATAGACTAGGTATGGTAGCTGGCAATGGCTCTTTCTGGTTAATTGAATGCTAGAGTTTATGGTTTATTATAAAAATAAAGATCATCATATTTCCTACTGAAAAAAACTTGAACTCAGTCTTTCTGGTACTATTTTCATTTCCCAAAGCTGAAGAGTACACAAATGGAGTGATGTACCCTTTAACTTCTCAATATTATTCAGCCCAGATAGCACAGAAGAATTTTCTGCCTCTAGTGACCAAAGCATCTAAAATTCGCAAATGGTACAGATTCTTTCCAGTGAGGTAGAAAAGGCGTGGGGGAGAACTCATGTGACCATCATGTCTCCATGATTTTTGCTTCTAATAAAATATCCTACCTCTAATGATAATAACAAATGCACCCTGTCCTGAGAGCATCTAGAATCAGCCTGAGAGTTGCCAAGTCCTGATATTTGTGATATTGATACATACCATGCAAGGCGTCATTTCAGAGTTTACACTTGCTTTTGGATCTACCTGTGGGCAGATTAAAGAACATGCTATAGGAGCCCCACAGTGTGGCTGCACGGTGGGACAGCCTCTTTTACACTGGGCTGCTGAATAGCTCCATCCAGTAGATGGTGCTGGTGATTGTGAAGCTAAGATGCAGGAAGAGGGCTAGGGCGAATGCAATGTCTAGAAACATAAATGTAGTTTTTGTAGTCAGAAATGTTGACTATGAATGAATGTTGACTATGAACAACTCAAACACTTGTTAAAAATTTGACAGACTCATGAGTTGTTTTTTCAGCAGTCACTCTGACATGGGCTGACAACATTTGTAGACAGAAAAATAAAATGAGGTTCAGGAAAAGCTTGACCGATCACAGGACAATGCATCTCACTTTTGATCATGACTGGATTGCTTAGCTGCCTGTGACTGGCTGAAGCTAATTTGGTGACTGATGAAATTCAGCTGGTTGTTACACAAACACACTCATAATTTAGGATGTCAGTTTCTTTCTTAGGTCGTAATTTGCTTTTGGTCTCAAAGTATGGAAACAGCTTCGGGACAAATTTAATTTAAAACACACTGACGCTTTAGTTTCCAAGATTCTGCATATGTGGATTCAACCTACTATGAGTTAAAATATTTTTAAAAATTATGTCTGTACTGAACATGTACAGTATTTTTTCTAAATAATATCACAACTAATTTATAGCATTTATATTATATAGGACATTATAAACAATATAAAGACTACTTACAGTATATGTGAAGATGTGCGTAGGTTCTATACAGATACTTCATTTTATACAAAAGACTTGAACATCCTTGGAGTTTGGTCTCATGGGATAGGGGTGCCCCAAGACTAGTCCTCCATGGATTCCAAAGGGTATATATATATAAAGTAATTTACCATGATTTTTAAAATTAGCTTATAAAGGAATGATTTTCACTGAGGCATTTCCATTCATAATTTGCTTTTTTTCCTCAACTATCCTGAAAAACTTGCCGAAGTATCATCCAAATAAGCTTGTATTTTACTGGTGCTACATCATCAACATTTTCTTGGTCCTCTTTGAAATCTGTTGAAGCCACTGGATTTCACAGTAGGAGGTTGGGAACATAGGAAGAAGAAAGGAGGATGGAGCAGTGAGGAAGGATCTGAAGAGTGTGTGTGTGTGTGTGTGTGTGTGTGTGTGTGTGTGTGTGAGATATGTGTGATTATATGCTGTATCAGGATACCTAATTAATTTTTCCTACAAAGTATACGGGGAAATTTGACATTATTATTATTATTTTTAAATAAATTTTTATTTTTTATTAGTTACAGTTTATTTACTTTGTATCTCAGCTGTAGCCCCCTCCTTCATGCCCTCCCAATTCCACCCTCCCTCCCTCATCTCCTCCCTGCCTCTCTCTAAGTCCACTGATAGGGGAGGTCCTCCTCCCCTTCCATCTGACCCTAGCTTATCAGGACTGGCTGCAATGTCCTCCTCTGTGGCCTAGCAAGGCTGCTTCTCCCTCAGGGGTTGGGGGAGGTCAAAGAGCCAGCCATTGAATTCATGTCAGAGACAGTTCCTGTTCCCCTTACTAGGGAACCCACTTGGATACTGAGCTGCCATGGGCTACATCCAAGCAGGGGTTCTAGGTGTGTGTGTGCATGCGTGTGTAGCTCAGAGAACAACTTATGAGAGTCAGTTCTCTCCTTCTATCATGTGGATTCCAGGGATCACACACTGGTCATCTGCTTTGGTGACAAGTGCATTTATCCACTGAACCATCCCACCTGCCCCTACTGACAAGATTTTCTCAGCTCTTTGACTACCCTTGACAATTCCTTGAGGGTAAGGTCTGTCTCTGTGTCCATTGTAGTATCCCGGTCACAGACTTAATACATATTCCAGGCAGAAAGAGTTGATGTACAGTGTTTATGATATACACAACTTTTCAGCAGAGTTGTTGATCATACCAAAAGGCCTTTGAAATACAAAGCAGAGATAGGAGAGCAAGGCTTACTTTGTCCATAGCTTAGCTCTGACACCTTGATGGCTGAGGTTTCCTCAGTTTCAAAATGCCTATTGCATTTCATCAGGACAGTGGATAGCAATTAGCTTCAGCTGTGTACTCGATACAAATCTAAGATTACCATGAATATGGAACTTCGGGTGAAGAATTGCCCAGATTAGATTGCCCTCTGGGCGTGTTTGTGAGAGACTTCATTTTCCTTAAAATTTTTACTTAGATACGTTTATTTTATGTGTGTGAGTATTTTGCCTGCATGTATGTATGGGTACCACACGTGTCAGGAACAGGTATCAGATTTTCTGGAACTGGAGTTATGGATAATTGTAAACCACCATATAGGTACTGAGAACCAGACTCAGGTCCTCTGTAAGAATACCAGTTGCTCTTAACCACTGACTCATCTCTCTAGTCATCTGCAAGGCATTTTCTTGATAGAAAATTGATACAGCATGGCTCAGCTTGCTGTGGATGGTGGCCTCCCTAGGGTGGGCCTGGGGTATATAGAAAAGGAAAGAGCCAGGGAGAGCAAACGAATCAACAGTGTTCCACGGTCTCAGTTTCAGTTCCTGTTCCAGGTTCCTGTCTTAGGAGTTCCTGCCTTAGCTTCCCTTGATGATGGACTGTAACCAATAAGCCCAAGAAACCCTTTCCTCCCAAAGTTGATTTTGGTTAGCATTTTTTATCACAAGATCATGAAGCGAACGAGGACCCAGTGGGAGGATCCGATGGGGTGATGGTGCAAAGGTGCATTGTAGGTAAAGAGCTGTTGGTATCATATCCTGGAGATGTAGGTTTTATTTTTTAATTTCCCCCCATTAATTTGTTTATTTAAATCACTGTTGGAACTTTCCCTACTTCCTCTCCTCTCAGTCCCTCCCTATCAAAGGGGAGACCCCCATGGATATCAACCCACCTGGGCATATCAACTAGGACTGGGCCCACTTCTTCTATTGAGGCTACATGAAGTGGTCCAGTTAGGGGAAAGTGATGCAAAGGCAGACAACAGAGTCAGACACAGCCCTTGCTCCTGCTGTTAGAGGTCCCACCTGAAGACCAAGCTGAACATCTGTTACATATGTGTAGAGGACCTAGGTTGGTCCCATGCATGCTCTCTGGTTGGTGGTTCATTCGCTGTGATCCCCTATGAATCCAGGTTAGTTGATTTTGTAGGTTTTCTTGTGGTGTCCTTGACCTCTCTGTCTCTTTCTTTTGTTCTTAAATTTATTTATTTTATTATTTACTTTACACCCTTCTTCTTCTCCTCCTGTCCCCACCCTCCCTACCTCTTCTCCCTCTTCCCTATTTCTCAGAAAAGAGAGCAACCTTCACCAACCCAGCTCATCAAGTTACATCACGACTGTTTGTATCCTCTTCCCCTGTGGGCTGGTGAGGCAGCCCTGCCAGAGGGGAGTAATCAGAAAGCAGGCAATGGAGTCCTGCTCCTCTTATAGAAGAGCCATGTGAAGCCCAAAGCTGCCCAACTGTGTAGGGAGTCTAGGTCCAGTCCATGTGTGATCTATGTTTGGGTGCTTCAGTCTCCAGAAGACCCTCTGGTCACTGGTTAGTTGGCTCTGTTGGTCTTCTTGTGATGATCTTGTCCCCTCCAGGTGCTTATATCCTTTCCCTTACTTCTCCCTATGTTTCGCCCAATGTTTGGCTGTGAGTCCCAGATGCTTAAATCTCACTCAGAAGGGGAAAGAGAATAGACAGTGCAAGTGGTTGAAGAGAGGGAACAAGGTAAGAGAGGGAGCACAGAGAGAAATGAGGGTGGTGATCAGACCTGGTGAGCGCATGGGTGGGGATGGAAGGACAGAGGGTCTGCAGAGAGATGAGAAACTGAGCCAGGGCATCTCTGTGACACGGTAGGCTTCTGGGAGGAAACATGGGTGACTCTAGTTGATACTGCTAGTAATAGGGTCATGGAGAATGAAGAAGGTATCCTCTAACTAGACAGGACTCCTAGTGGAGGGAGGGGAACACCAACCCACCACAAAAACATTGACCCCAAATTTGTCCTCCCTATGAGATATGCAGGAATAAAGATAGAACAGAGACTGAAAGAATGTCTAATTAATGCCTGCTCCAACCTGAGACCCATGGGAGAGAGCTAGCCCCTGCCACTATAAATGATATTCTGCTGTGCTTGCAGACAGGAGCCTAGAACCTTAGCTCTCTTTTATTCTTTCCTCTCCCTCTTCCATAAGATTCCCCGAGCTCCTCCTAATGTTGGCTGTGAGTCTCTGCATCTGTTTTTATCAGATGACTGTTATGCTAGCCTTTTGTCTGCAAGTACAGCAGAATATTATTATAGTGTCAGTGGTCAGCTCTCTCTCATGGCATGCTACTCAAGTTGAGCCAGTCATTGGTTGGCTAAGCTGAAGGTTTTGTGTGTGGGTTGGTGTCCTGCTCTGTCCACTGAAAGTCCCGACTGGCTACAGGAGATGACCACTTCAGGTTCTATATCTCTTGTTGCTAGGATTCTTAGGGTCACCCTTATAGATTCCTGGGAGTTTCCCTTGTCCTAGGTTTCTGCACCCCATCCTCTGCCAAATTCAGTTCTCTCTCCCTCTATCCTCCCCACACATGATCTCCCCTCTCTATCATCTTCCCCACCTGGTTGCCTCTCTGTATCCATCTCAGATGCTATTTTATTTCCCTTAAGAGTGAAATTCAAGAATCCTCCCTTTGACACTTCATGCTACTTAGTTTTTTTGGGGTCTGTGGCTTAGTAGCCTGGTTGTCCTGTACTTTATGGCAAATATCCACTTCTAAGTGAGCACATACCATGTGTGTCTTTCTGGGTCTGGTTACCTCAGTCAAGATGATCTTTTCTAGTTCCATCTATTTGCCTGCAAATTTCATGATTTCCTTGTTTTTAATAGCTGGGTAGTGTTCCATTGTGTAAATGTACCACACTTTATCCATTTTTCAGTTGAAGGACACCTGTGTTGTTTCTAGTTTCCGGCTGTTATGAATAAAGCTGCTATGAACGTAGTTGAGCAAGTGTCCTTGTGGTATGGTGGAACATCTTTTGAAGATATGTACAGGAGTGGTATGGCTGGGTTGTCAGGTAGATGGATTTTTTGCTTTTATCAGCACAGTAATAGAGGCTGAAGAAAAGAACACAGAACACTGTTTGCAGGTTAAAAGACAAACCTCCAAATGACTGAATTTGTTTTTACATGAAGAAAAGTTATCTAAGTTGTCTCAACAATTTTGCATTGTTCACACCCTTGAGGTCTTAGGCCATACCTTGTTAAAAGAATTGTTAAAAATTTCATTAAAAAAATAACCAAAACAAAACCGGTAGCTATCCATTTGCCTGCAAATTTCATAATTTCCTTGTTTTAAATAGCTGTGTATATGTACCATTGTGTATATGTACCACAATTTCTGTATCCATTCCTCCATTGAGGGACATCTAGATTGTTTCCAGATTTTGGCTATTAAGAATAAAGCTGTTATGAACATAGTTGGGCAAATGTCCTTATTGAATGGTGGAACATCTTTTGGGTATATTCCCAGGAGTGGTATACCTGAGTCTTGAGGTAGAGCTATTCCCAATTTTCTGAGAAAGTGCCAGATTGATTTCTAAAGTGGTTGTACAAGTTTATACTCCCACCAGCTATGGAGAAGGGTTCCCTTTTCTCTACATCCTCTTCAGCATGTGTTGTCATTTGAGTTTTTTTTCTTAGCTATTCCAATAGGTATAAGATGGAACCTCAGAGTTGTTTTGATTTGCATTTCCCTGATGACCAAGGATATGGAGAATTTCTTTAAGTGTTTCTATATAATTCTCTGCCTAGCTCTATATCTCATTTTTAATTGGATTATTTGGTTTGTTGGTGTCTAATTTTTTGAGTTCTTTATATATTCTAGATATTAGTCCTCTATTGGATATTGGGTTGGTGATGATCTTTTCCCAGTCTGTAGACTGTCGTTTTGTTCTGCTTGTTCTGTTGACAGTGTCCTTTGCTTTATAGAAGCTTTTCAGTTTCATGAGGTTCCATTTATTATTTGTAGATCTTAGAGCCTGAGCTGTTGGTGTTCTGTTCAGGAAATAGTCTCTGTGCCAATGAGTCAAGAAGAGATCATCGGAGTGAGAAACAGAAAGACACACATGGTATACACTCACTAATAAGAAGATATTAGCCATATAATATAGGACAGCCATCTGTAGACCTAAAGAAGCTAAACACTAAGGAGAACCCTCAGGAGGATGCGTAAATCTCATTCAGAATGTCAAACAGGATAGACACAAGAAGTGGTGGAAGAGGTGCATGGGAGTCTACTCCAGAGGGTCCTCTGAAAGGATTCACCCAACAGGGGATTAAAGCAGATACTGAGACTCAGGGCCAAACTTTGGGCAGAGTGCAGGGAGTCTTATGGACTAAAAGAGGGGTGGCATTAGAGGGACATGGAGGAGACAGGAGCGCCACACTGGAGGCCAACAGGAGCCCCACAGGAGACCAACAAAACTAAAAGATCCGAGCCCAGGGGGTCCAGCAGAGACTGATGCACCAACAGATTACCATGCAAGGACAGGACCTAGACGCCCTGCTCAGATGTGGCCTATTGGTAGCTCAGTCTCCATGTGAATCTCTGAGTGAGGGGAGCAGGGGCTTCCTGTGTCATGAGCTCAGTTTATCACTGTCTGATCACAGCTTTGCCAGATGGTGCAGCTTTGCCAGACCATGGAGGAAGAGGATCCAAGCAGTTCTGATGAGACTTAACAAGCTATTGGCAGATGGCAATAGTGAAGAACTCTCCCTTTCAGTGGACTAGGGGAAAGGGATTAGGGGAAGAGGAAGGGAGGTGAGACTGAGGGAGTTGAGCATCAATCAGTATATATAATGAATAAATTGTGAAGAAAAAATAAAAAAAAGGGCTCTGTGATCACCTCCTACTGAGTGGGGAGCAGCCTTGCCAGGACACAGAGGAAGACAAGGCAGACAGTCCTGATGAGACCTGATTGGCCAGGGTCAGATGGAAAGGGAGGAAGATCTCCTCTATCAGTGGACTGGGGGAGGGGCATGGGAGGAGAGGAAGGAGGGTGGGATTGAGGGAGGATGAGAGAGGGAGCTACAGGTGGGATAGATACAAAGTGAATAAACTATAGTTAAAATAAAAAAATAAAAATTTATAAAAAAGGTCATTAAAATGGATAGCTATTAAAATTCTTAGACTTATGTACAGGGCTGACTTTATTTAATCATAAAAGTTGTAGTGGCTGAGGCCTCAAGTCCAGAAGTAAATATATTCTTCTTGACACAGGAGGTGAGATTCTGTTCCTTGGTGTGGCGCTGCTGGCGAACTACACAGATCTGGATGTGCAAATCCATGTGGAAGACACCTCTGCTCAGGTCCTCGCACAGAGGTCATGGGGACTGGAGGTCATGCTGCCCCCAATGCTGCCTGGCATCCACAGGATTTCAGCCTTCATTAATGGAGTCAGCATCAGTTCACAAGGGTAAGGGTGTCCCTGCTGTTAAGTCTGGGTCTGTTTGATGGTCTACCAACTCATCTGGGAAACTCTACTTCAATTTAAGTGTCTTCTCTTTTTATGTAAAGTGGTGTTATAAAGATCTGAGAATTAAAAACACATGAATGGTGGCATGCATGCAGAAAGGGAGGGTGGGATCGGGAGGGGAGGAGGGAGGGGCTTGTGGGGGGATACAAAATGAATAAAGTGTAATTAATAAAAAATTAAAAAAAAGAAAAAAAATACATGAATGAATCTTATGTGGACAGTTCACGCCTTAGGTTGATAGAGGTGAAAATGTTGGCTTACTTGCTTGGGAAAAGGGAAATCTCTGGAAGGTGGTTAAGGTGGGGAGGAGGTCAGCCTCTGTGGCTGCAGTGCCTGTGGTCTGAGGCTTTGAATAAATGGTTTACAATAACTGCACAAGCCTCACCTTCATCTCCCTCCATATCTTTGAAGTCATTCTAGATTTTCTCTAGAAATCCTCTGAGCTAATCTAGAAGGTATCCAGTGCATATGGGACTGCTGTTGCAGTATGAGACTGGCACAGGACAATCCCCCCACACCTCCTGTTTCTTCTTTGATACTCGCTCTCCTTTTACATCATTCGCTCCTCCACAAACATCTCTCCACTCTCCATGGTACTTTCTAACACCACCTGTCTTCCCTAGGGTTGATCTCCACATCCAATACCTCACTGAAGTTTTCAGCATGGAGCCTTGCTCTGGGTCTCTTTTGGGTGAGTGGTTCTGACATCACATAATATTTATCTAGCAAGTTGCATTACTGGACAGTGAGATTTCATTTCCCAACTCACGATCCGGTGACGTCAGGGCTGCAGGGGCCAAGGAAAGAGATTTCCTTTGGTTTCCAGATGAGCATCTGTCTTCTGAAAAGTGTAAAGAGTTGTGGGACTTAGCTCTCTGAGTTTCAGAAATTAAAGAGTAATAAAAGGGAGAGGTAGCTGGCATCATTTGGGAAATGTAACAGTATGGGAAGTATAACAGCTAGGTAGAATAATGTGTCAGATAATATAACAGATGACAAGAAAATGAAAGATTAGTTTTTAATTCACATATAAGTTGAAAGTGGTCTGTAGCCTTCTACAACATGTCTTAAACATTTAAAAAATATAATTTTGGGAGTTTGAAGAGATGGTCAGTGATTGCAATCGCTTGTTTCTCTTGTAGATGACTGGGTTCAGTTCCCAAGACCCACACGGTGGCTCACACTGGTCTGTAACCCAGTTTCAGGGCATCTCTGAGATCCTGTTCTGGCCTCCGTAGGCACAATATACAGTGGCACACAGACACATGAAAAACATCTTAAAATGTATTTTCATAAGATAATTTGAATCCCTTTACTGCTGTGTGAATTTGGTCATCTCTGAGTACTGGCCAAATGACCACAAATGTAGCCATGATGGAGATGAAACTTGTGCACCCCACTTTGCGCTTGATTCTATCAGGCCTGTATCAGTGTTGCAGTTCCTGTTTGGAATTTTAGCTTGTGTGTGTGTGTGTGTGTATGTGTGTGTGCATGCGTGTGTGTGCCTGCCTGTATGTCTGTGTATAAGCAAATCACATCTCCAGTAAGAATGTAGAGGCCAGAAGTCAATTTTCTCTTTTCATCATGTGGGTCTTCAGGATTTAAACCCCGATCGCCAGACTTCACAGCAGAGTTCTTTAGCGGCTGATCCTTTCTGGCAAGCCGGAATATTAGCTTTTAATTTTTGTCTTCCACATTTGCACTTTAGGTGGAACTATTGTTGGCCTCTCAGGCGTAGGATTTGGCAGAGACGCAGCTCTGATTTGGGTCCTTGTGGACAACCGTCCTTGTGCTATTGTGAACTTAACGGATGTGAGCATTTGGTGTGAGACTCCTCCGGCTGTACTATCACCTGGAGCACATGCTCTCTCCCTTCCAGCTTCTGTGGAGATCTGGGCTGGCAACACCTCCTTCCTCCATGGACCAAGTTTGGTGGGGAAGGGTTTTACTTTCATGTACAAAGCATCAGCAACACCCGTGGTCACCGCTATGAGGGAAGAAGTCATGAACAACAGCCTGCAGTTCTATGTGGAAGGAAATAACCTCTCGGACTCAGTCATTCTTTTGGGAACCTTGAAATGTGACCTTGACGTGCAATGGTTTGATGGTGACAGGAATCTGTCTAGGTGCTCCTTTCCTCTCTACAATTTGGAAGCAGGGGTCTATCCTCTCCAAGTTCGTCACAAGTGGATGGGGTTTGCCAACATATCTGCGGTACCTCAGACGTTTGAGTTGTCACCTAGGATAACGTCCATCTTCCCATCATGCGGTTCTTTGTGTGGCGGGACGGTGCTCACTGTGAAGGGCGTGGCCTTCCGTTCCAGGAGGAGGTCAATTCATGTTGACCTTTCAGGCCCTTTCGCCTGTGTGATTTTGAGTTTGGGAGACCACACAGTCCTATGCCAGACCAGCTTGGTGGGCCACCGCTCCTCTGAAGCATCATTTGCTCTAAATGTCACAGTGGTGGTCAATGGGCTGACCAGCAAATGTGAGGGGAACTGCACACTCTTTATGCAGGAAGAAATGACTCCTGTTGTGGATGCCCTGACTGTAAACATCAGCGGGTCTCTAACCACAGTGCTGTTGCGAGGCCAGAGGTTAGGCACCACTGCTGACGAGCCGACAGTGTTTGTGGACGATCAGCTTCCTTGCCACACAACTTTTTCCAATGCCAGCCATATTGCATGCCAGATGAATGAGTTGACCCCGGGCTTCCACTACCTGTCAGCTGTGCATACGAGCACTGGGTTTGCTTGTCTGGGTAGTGTTTCTAGGAGCTTCTTCGTTGTGCCTCAGGTGTTTGATTACTTTCCTAAGAATTTTAGCATCCGTGGTGGAAGTCTTTTGACCATGAAAGGCACAGCCCTGAGGGGACGGAGTGCTACCTTCGTCTATGTTGGCCAGCAGGCCTGTGTAAGAGTGAACGTCAGCTCTGAGTCCATCCAGTGCGTTAATCCTGCAGGAAATGGCTCTGTTGCTCTGGAAATCGAGGTGGATGGGGCCCTGTACTATGTGGGCCTGGTTGTTTACAGCAGGCTCTTTACCCCGGAATTGCTCTCTGTTTCACAGAGTCATGACATCTTAACCATTGCAGTGACCGGGATCTCAGGGCCTGCAAACGTTGACGTTCTTATCGGGACGTCACCATGTCTAGGTGTCTCTGGGACCCGTACAGCTCTCCAGTGCATGGTCCCCTTGCTCCCTGCTGGGGAGTATCCTGTCACAGTGTTTGACCACATCAGAGGATGGGCCTCAGCAGCTCTCACTCTCGTGCTGAGAGCTACTGTGACTTCAGTGACCCAGAACTTTGGTAAGCAGAGCATACAGGACAGAATACCTTCTCTATAAAGCAAATTAAGTGTTACTCTCAGTTTTAGGAAGAAGGGTGCCATCATCACTGTGAGACAGCAGGAAGAACGAGCCTGGGTGGCCTCTCATAGTCACAGTTCTTTCTTCAGGCCTGTCTCTGTGATATTTCATTTATTTATCTTCATTTTTTTTTTCACCAGGGAAAACCCGTGTATTCCCTAAGCATTTGATCTTGTTTTAATTTCATGCCTCAACTTCATTAGACACATGTTTTAAATTTAATAATACCATTTGCTAAAGCTCGTTATTTGATCACAAAAGGATATAAACGTATTTACCTATTTTAGACATACGCTGATTTGTATTATTTAAAACATATTCAGTAGCCTTAATTTTTTGCCATTCGGTAATGGTTCGCAGATGAGTTTATTTTCCACCAATATTATGCCAGTGCCATAGCGCAAGCGTGAGGAAGGTGAGGGCTGAGCTTTGTGTGCAGTGAGACAAGATTTGCCTCGTAAATGATGAGCTTGGGATTTGTCTCCAAAGGCTGCCTGGGTGGAAGGCTTTTGCATGTGCTCGGAACAGGATTTTCTCCAGGGAACATCTCAGCTGCTGTGTGTGGTGCTCCGTGCCAAGTCTTGGATAATGCGACAGTGTCTGCCTTCAGCTGCTTGGTTCTGCCCCTGGATGGTGAGAGAAAACTACAGTAAACAAACAAAACCTCTTAAAAACAAAACAAAGCAAAACCTCTCAGACTTACACATCATATCGTTTGGCTTTTTCTGTTTCCATTTTACTACTGTACTGACTACTACTGAGAATGGAATTTTCTCTTCTCCATAAAAATTGGTAGCCCCTGGGGGCCTGAGGAGATGGCTCAGTGGGTAAAATGCTGGCTTTGCAAGAATGAGGACTTGAGTTTAGAACCTCTGCACCCTGTTAAGGCTGTAATTGTACATGACTAGAACCCAGGAGTGGATGGAGATGCTGATCCAGGTGGAAGCCCAGAATTTGCTGGGTAGGCTCTCTAGTCAAAAGGAGAGCTCTGGGTTCCATAAACCTGTCTCAGAGTAGTAAGTTGGAGAGAGATGCAGAAGACTCCTGAAGCCAGCCTCTGACCTCCACATGCTCCCAGAGATGTGTACTACCCTACACACTTAAACATGTACGCCTTACATATGCATATAACACAGACAGACAAAAAGAACGCCCCCACCTGCCCTCCCACTGGCTGTCTCTTGAATATTGGTTTTGCACTCAGCTCCTTGATTCTTTTAGGCACAACTTGCTGTACCGTAGTTCTCTTATTCTGCAATGTTGACTATAGGTCATGAGAGCTCACTGCTTTAAGACAAAGCTGTCATGCAAATCGTGAAATGGGAAGCCTTGTCCTTATGCTGGGAAAAGTGTGTAAAACCCAGTGTTTCACATCATATGGTAACCGCCTCTTGAGTATCAAGGGGAAACAAATTCCCAAGAGGAGGAAATGACTTTGCTATCACAGGGCCCTGTTAATTTTTGAGAGACCCTCAACCAAGCCAGGTGTGTATTCTCTTTGCATAGTCCCAGGCACCACACTTTGCACGTAAGAAATTACACTCTGCCCTCACGCATTTCTGTGTTTTGGTTTAGTTATGTTCCTCCTCTCCTATCTTTTCCCCTGAAATTTGAACGTGGGCTAAGATTTTACAAATGATGGATATATTAATCCACCTGATCTTGAGCTACAGTTCTATGAGATGTAATTTTGGAGGTGAATTATACTGTGGTGTCGTAGGCAGGAGAAAAGAAAGGGGAGGAACAGGAGAAGGGAGGGGGAGGTGAGAGAAGAATAAAAAAAGAGAATGAGGAGAAAAATCCTGTTTCAATATACCAGAAACAGTTTTCTCTTGTCGTTATCAGTTGAATGTGAGGAAGGAAAGACCAATTCTACAATATGAAACCTAAGATGCAATAGCGATTTTTAATATAGCATTTGATTCATTGTGTTTCTTTCTGTGCACAAAAAGAAAGTATGTGTCCACCCAAAGTATGTGCCAAATTAGTGTAATGTAAAATTAAACGACAGGGTTAGGAAACAAGCTAGATATGGTGGCAGCCTGCCTTAAATCCCAGCACCCAGGGAAGCAGTCAGAGCACTGTGAGGTGAAGGCCATTACGGTCTACAGAATGAGCCCAGGATAGCTGAAGCCACACAAAGAAACCCAGTTGTGAAAAAAAAAAAAAGAGAGAGAGAGAGAGAAGACAGTGGCAATGAAGCAAACATCACTTTGTAGGTTCTAATTTTATTTTAAAAGTTTATTTAGTTTTGTTTTCTGGCAATGAATATTTTGCCTTTACATATGCATACATGTATATATGTATGTGCATGTATCTATGTATATCATGTGTGTGTTTGGTGGTTGTGGAGGCCAGAGAGGTTTTCAGATCTCTAAACTGGAGGTATAGGCAGTTGTGAGCCACTGTGTAGGTGCAGGGATCTAAATGTAGGTCCTCTGCAAGAGCAGCAAATATTCGTAACTGTTGAGCCATTTCTCCAGGTCCTATTTGTAGGTGTATTTTTTTTTTTTTTTAGATATTTTATTTGGGTTTTTGTATCTACTATCCTTCTCCACCCCAATCCCTTCCAACCCCTCAACAATGGGTAGTAGGAAAAGGGGCAGAGAGGAAGGGGATTTAGACCTCTTTAAGCTACTTACATCATAATTAGGTCGTTGGTCTTCGTCTTCTTCAGAATGTTCAGCAATCCAGCAAACCAGCAATTCGGTAATGCAGCAATAGCAAATGCAAGAGCAGGAACCAACAGTCACGCAGACCACCAGCAGCAGGGAGAGCAGCAGCTACCCCAGGCTCTCTCAGGGCGTTGCCGTTTATACCCTTCCAAGAGTGCCCAGAATTAAACTGTCTGCAACTGGTAAAAATCATGCCCTCGCAAGAACATGAGACACAGTAGTTAGCTGTTATGGACAATCTGAAACAACCCCATGTCCCAAACCTGGGATTAAAACAAAAATGTATTCATATAACATAAGTGGATTTTTAAAGAAACCAAAATTCTCACTATATTTCCCCTTTTAGTTCCCAAACGGCTTTTTTTTCTAATATTAACAAAAAATATATAATATATATATTAAGAACAATTATGAGAACTATCAGGTAAGAACTACATTCATAGTGTCCTTTCCATTTGTATTTGGCAACCTTGGAGAAAGTGTTCCACTATCTCTCCTATCTTGGTGAGTTCAAAGCTCTGTACCTAAATTCCTTTCTTATCATAACTTGCGTTTATCGGCCTAAAATCATTTTTCCAGACCCTAAAACGTTTTCTTAGATGCTAAATAATTTAAGCTTTTATGTATTTAATCCTAATAAGGAAAACTGTAAGAGTGTAATCATCTAACTTTAACTCCATCAGAGACCTGAGGAGATGTATTTACTTAGTAAAAGAAACAACACTGCTTCTGAAACTATAGAAATGATAGAGACTACTGGCTCACTGGACAGTCACCCAAGATGCCTCAGAAACATTAAGACATCTAGTCTTCAGCCTTCTGGCCTAGAATATCTGACAGACTCCTCTGTGAAACAGGAATTTTGAAGGACTGGCCTACCTCATCTCTGCAAAGTTAGACAGTTGATTTCCCAGTGTCTTGGTTGTCTATTCCTGTGTTCTAATATTCAATTAATAATGCTTCAGGTTTTTTAAAATTGAAAATAGATTCCTCTCTTATACAGTACATCTTAACAACAGTTTTTCTTCTCTTCGCTCCTGCCAGCTTCCCCACAACCTTGCCTTTTCCCAAGAACCACTTCCCCAGTCATTTCCCTTCTGAAAAAAAGCAGGCCTCCAAGAGAATAAGCAAACGCTGCAAAACGACACAAAAAGATAAGGCAAAATCCCTCATACTGAGGATGGAAAAGGCAACCCCATAAGAGGAAAAGTGTCCATTTCTGTTAGGTTGGGTTTGTGGATAGATACTGTTGATATTTTACTTCATCATTTTCTCCAGCTGTGGTGACTGAAAGTTTTGCTGGGTAGAGTGGTCTGGAATGGCATCTGTGATCTCTTAGAATCTGCAGTACATCTGTCCAGGCCTTCTGACATTTATAATCTGCCTTGATAAGTCAGGTGGAATTTTAATAGGTCTGCCTTTATATGTTATTTGCTATTTTTCTCTTTCAGCTCCAAATATTATTTTCTTTGTTCTGTATGTTTTGAATTTCGATTATTATGCAGTGACAAGACTTTTATTCTGGTCCACCCTATCTGGTGTTTGGTGTGATTTCTGTACCTATTGACATCTTCTTTAGATTAGGAAAGGTTTCTTTTCTGATTTTGTTGAAAATACTTTCTAGGATTTTGACCTGGAAATCTTTTCTTTCTTCTATTTCTATTATTCTTAGGTTTGGTCTTTTTATAGTGTTCCAGATTTCCTCAATAGTTTGTGTTAGGAAGTTTTTAGATTTAACATTTTCCTTTTACCAATGTACCCATTTATTCTTTTGTATCTTCAGTGCCATCTCTTGTATTCCATTGGTGATGCTTGCATCTGTAGTTCCTATTCACATTCCTAAATTTGTTATTTTCGGCATTCCCCCAGTTTGTGTTTTCTTTACTGCTTCTGTTTCCATTTTCAGTTCTTAAAATAGTTTCATTCCTTCAGGTGCTTTTTGTTGTTGTTATTTTCATGGCTTTCTTTAAGGGACATTTCTTTAATTATATTCATTTTCTAATTAGGGACCTTTCATCATCATAGAGTTGGTTTTAAGGTCTTTTTCTTCCGCTTCAGCTATGCTGGAATAGCCAGATCTTGCAGTGTCAGGATAGCTGGGTTCTAGTCTTCCAGCAGGCATGAGCTGTAGTTGAGCATGGAGTGTTTGCCAGTGTTGGGGCTGGGATGCAGTGATGGGTTGAGGAAGCTGGGGGAAGAGGGAGAGAGGTATGGGACAGCAGGGAAGAGAGGCTGCAGCATGTGTTCTGTTGAGGGCTAAGGATGACCTGAGGATTGGGTCTGGAAGAACGGAGACGGTTGCTTCAGGTTAAAAAATTCTTTTTCATATCCATTGCATGAATTAATAAATGTTAAAACTCCTTAGTATTATTTTAAAACATTTAATCTTAGCCAGAAGTACAAAAAATGAAATAAATTTTGCTATTGTAAGTCCGATAACCCATATGTTAAAAATTAAATTAGTATATACAAAGGATTTGAATAAATTTTGGAAATTGAGAATTAGTTATCCGGATTCTGAGAGGAGTAATGCTGGAATTAAAGGCTGTAACTCTTACTGTGACCACTAGGTGGCACCAAACACTCACCAATTGTACAAGGACACATTTCTCCATCCTTAAAGCAGCCTTTGAAAGGGCCCTTATTTCTATGGTCTTGTGAGCTCCTACTCCAGGTTTCTCACGTAAGATCCAGGTGGAGGGTCGGGGGTTCTTTGAGCCTTCTGAAGCTGACTAAAACAAATGCTGCGAGTAAGATGGTGTTTTTATTTCTTCCTGTGAAGTACGTCCATAACAGACAACAAATGGTTAAGAGGCTGTGTGTGAGAGAAAGCTTTATAGATAGCTGGTGATTCTCTTGCTGTACAGGCCTGCATAGAACCAGCATCACTGGGAATCTGTTTGTTTCAGCGATGTTGTCAGAGGGGAATCAGCAGCCATCCTCACACCCGTATCCCAGTTGCCCTTCTCAGAGGATTCATCTCTCCCCGTTGGTAGCACTGTCAACCAGCCTTTGGACAGACGTCTACCTATAATTTGGTGCCGGATTTGTGCGTTGTCTTCCTGGTTTACGATCTTTCTGTTAAACACTATTTTCCTCCCTCTCTTTCTCTCCCTCCCTGTGAGTGTATGCGTGGTGCGCACGCATTCTCGCTTCCTGGGGAACGGACGTGAGCAAATGTCTTCTCACCTCAGATTCGGAGCCTGCAACACCCTCAAAGTTCAGCTTGGCGAACGGAAGAGCTTTCTTGCAGTTACCCACGTAGGGGAGGGGTTTCTTGCAGGAGCGGAGCCTGCTCAGGCAGCTCAGCTGGTCTCCTCTGATTCCCCCAGGCCTAGCTGCCATGCCCCGTCCAGGTGGCTCAGCTTATTTGAAAGTGTCTCATATACTACTTATTTAAGCTCAGGGGAAAGGAGGGACCTAGCAACTCTGGTCAGTGGCAGGGGCTTCCTAAGTTTTCGAGTTGTTTACTTCTTGAGGTGATGAGCTCCTTTCAGGATGGACTGTTTTATTTTAGAGAACATTTCTAGGCAACGTCACATACGTGTTCATGTGCACACAGTGTGTGTCTACCTGTGTATGCATGTGAGTGCGCACACGTAGTGTGTATACGTGCACCAGTGTTGCATTGCGTGTTTCTTTACATGCATGTGTCATGTGCTTGCATTTGACATGCGTGTGCATGCGTGGGCCAAGTATTTTTTTTTTTTGTTTCTAAAGTGACTGTGCACAGCTAAGCTCTCTTCCTGTTTATACGGCTTCTTTTTTTCCTACTGCAGTCCGTTCCTCCGCTCTTTTCATTTGGCCTTTTGTTTGTTTACCGCTTGTTAACTTCTCAAATTTAACAAGGTCACTTTGAATTCTGACCCTTGGCCTGAAGTATTTTTCAGTTTGATTTTGCATGATAGAGGAATGTTTCCTATCCTAGATTGTAGATAAATGTCTTAAGATGCAAACTTTCCTAATTACAGTTTGCTTGTTCTGATGCCATGGTACTAATGTGTTTCCCTTTTAGAGAGTAATGAGGAATTAAAGATGGAGATGAGAAAAGTTCCTTGGCTGCTTTTGGGGTCAACTGTCTTTACTCCCCCAGATCACACTTCCAGCCAAAGAACACTTTTCTATATGATGGGTGCTAAGGCATCCGGTTAGGTGAAATTTATATTTCACTTTTGTTTAAAAATGCTCGAGATCTTTGATCTTCAGGTTTTTTGCATTTACTTGGATTATACCAAATGACTTTTTCATGGAAACTTTAACTTTTCCATGAGGCATGAAGAGCTAAAGCGATTAAGGTCACAGAGCTATTTAGTGGCAGAACTTTGAATAAAACCCATGGATTTTGATCCCCAGCCTTAGGTGCTTTTCATAATCCACCTTGTCAATTTGCATCCACTTAATCACCTATAATGAATTCATTATTTTATAGGTGTTGAGCCTGTTTTTATTTGCCTTGGGGCTTAGGCACTAGAAAGTTTTCATGTTTTGTCTACGCACACGAGAGTCCCCGCTGTCAGTCATTTTTATTGCAATTATTCATTTTAAAACATTTCCAGAGAATGTCCTAGGTAGCAGGTGCTTTGGAATGAAACAGAAGCAGTAACAGGATTTGGACATGATTGCATAACTACGGGTTCTTGCTGTCAGTGCCATGATGAGGCAGACGGTCATAGATTCATGCCTGAAGATCTTGATAATGTTTGCTGTGGACCTGTGAGGACAGGCTAGCTGCAGAGGTGGGAGGCTAGAGACACTTCTCTCTCTCTCTCTCTCTCTCTCTCTCTCTCTCTCTGTCCACTTTGGGATTTCCAGACAGTTCCTGTTAAAATATCTCAGCAGGCATTTGTTCGTCTTCCAGTTAAAAGTCACTGTCGTGTCATTTTGGATTACTTCTGTTCTTTTGTTGGAGCTGGGGTATGTAACTCTGGTTGGCCTACAAGTAAACTCACTCTGTAGATCAGGCTGGCTTCACGTTCACTGATCTACTTGATGCCTCTCACACCTGAATGCTCGGGTCATGCCGGCCTTATTGTTGCCTTTCCATTTCTTCCTTGTCCCAGAAAGAAATGGGGTAAGTGACTTGCTTTTCTACTTCATGAAACATTCCTGGTCACTATAATACACAGAGAGTTCATGTTAACCAAGGAGTTCCATGAAGAGTGAGGAGTCCAGCCTGTGATTTGGAATATACAACAGTAACTTCTCTGGGACCCCAGCATAACAGACAAATAAGAAAAAGATAAACACTCCAGTTAGAACAATAGCCACGTGACAAGAGCAGGAACTTTACAGTAGAGGCATGAACTATAATTAAACATAAAATAATTTTCAATCTAAAAGGAAATTAAAAGTAAATTAAAGCCACAATATAACACTATGTTCTTCACCTTAGGGAAAAGTCGCTAATTTTATGTGCCAACCCCTGTTGAATAATGATAATAGAAATATAAACAATAAGAATACAAAAATTTCTTTGGGATACAAGGTGATAGCTTCTCTTTATGTTGACCTTGTGTCTACAAGCCTTTTTCTCCATAGACATTCATCCTGGAGAAAACTGCTCCTATCCGTAACAGCATATATTTGGAAATGCCCAAAAGTCTACAGGCGAAGCGACAGACTCCTCATGGTGCTGCCAGGCAGTGAGCATGGGACAGCAGAGGGAACCTAACACAGCAGTCACGCACAGACATTGGGGAGGAGCACAGCAGACGGAAAGAACATTCTGTCATGTGTTATATTTACTAATGTTCAAAAGCAAAAGCCACCAGCCTCTCATTTAGAGATATGAGTCTGCTCTATAGCATGACCTTTTATTTTAAAGTGTTTTTCTTTGGTGGGTCTTCCTGGCACGTAGGCCTGCACACTGTGCAGGTTTTTCTCGGAGGCCAGGAGAGGGTGACTGTAGCTGTAGATGGTTGTGAGCCGTTATGTTGGTGCTGGGAATGGAACCCAGGTCCTCCTGGAGAACAGCCAGTGCCATCTCCTCTAGCCCCTCACATGATGTTTTTCAAACGCCAAGTGGTTATTTGTCAGGATGAGGAAAGAAATGAATCCAGAGCTGTGCGTAAGTTTGGAAATATTATAACTCTTTTAGTCTCTTGCTCTCTGAATGGTTACATACATTTTATTAATGAGGATTGTTTATGTTTTACAAAACCATTTCTTGTATCTTCTGCCTTATAATGTATATATATATATATAATATTTTAAAAATTATGTGCATTTATTTATGTGCAAGTGAATGTGCGTTTTCGTATGTGTGAAGGACAGGAGATGATTTCAGGTGTCATTCATGAAGAATACCATTACTTTATTTTCAGACAAGGTTCTGCACTGGATAATAATGCAGTATTTTTTTTAAATGAAATGATAATTGACTTTTCCTTGGTCAAAGAAAGCATCATTCCTGAAATGACATGAGACTTTGAGTTCTTTCCACAGGTTTGCCTAAACTCCTGGTGACTTTTCCAGCGTCCTTGGCTCTCCTGTGTGACCTGAGGCATGCAGAAGACAACTGTGAAGCTAGCAGCTACCCCTACTTGCAATGCGATTTGACTGTCTCCATGGGGACAGAGAGACTCCCTGGATCCTGGCCTTATGTCTTCCTTTGTGAAGAGAGTTCCCAGTGTCTCTTCGTACCAGACCACTGGGAAGAGCTGGCCCTTCCATCCTTCTCAGGCCTCTTCCTCAGGTAGCTCCATCTTTCCTGCCCTCTTTGACTTTCCCCCCAGCTCATGGCCACTGGGCACCCCAGAGCCACCAGAAAGCACAGGCAGGGTGGCTATGGCCTCCGGGCCTCCGACTCTTTCAGAGGGGCCGTTCCGTCATGGATTCCAGCCAGCCTCCATATCAAAGCATCTCCGTCTTTTTCAAGTGTTCAAGGGAACATCTGAAAATATGCCCAGTAAACAGCTCACTTTGTTCTTGCTTAGATTTTAATATTTATCTTCCGATCCAAAGCAACATCTGGTGAATGCCAATGGGGAGAAAGATTAGACGTTATGAAAAACAGAAGGCTTCCCCTCCTTTCCTTTTTTCTTTTCTTTCCAAACAGATTCACAAGTATGAAAAAAAAAAAATCACAGAGAAATCCGGCAGATTGCACAATGTTTATTCAAAAGAAGGGGGGTTATACCCTGGAATTATTGTAGATCTGGGTTTTTAGATGCTATAAACTCATAAGGACCCCTTGAGTTTTTTAAATAGAAAAAAAACAAAACAAAACAAAACAAAAACACAATCTAACAAGTAATACCATGACTGTCTAGAGCCAACCGCTTTTCTAAGATGATTTTTTAAAAGGCGTGAGCATGTTGGTAAGTTTGCGTGGCCTTGATTCCAGCCGGCAGTTGAGTTCCTACGCAGGCCGATATCTTAGCACCGAACATTGCCTGGTGTCGTGACTGCTCGTGGGATAGAGTAGCTCCAACTGACTTTTTAACGAAGACTGGTTTTTCTCATTGCGATATAAAACCAAACAAGACCGGTTGCCTGCAGTGGAGGAATAACTAGTTCTTTCCATGGCCGTCTGATTTTGTGATGGCCTGAGCAGTCCGACTTGCTAGGAACTTGTCACCAGAGATTTGTGGTCAGCCAGAGGAAAAGAAGCACTTCCTTGGCTGCTGCAGCCCCAAAGGGTCGCACGTGCCTTGGAAAGGTACCATGGGAAATGAGAGCCCCGAGGTTTTACTCAGGTGAAGCCAGGTCTCAGAACTCACTACTCTGTCAGCAGGTCCTGTTGCATGGATTCCCGGAACTTTACTTTTTGGATATCATAAATGTCACTCTGGGGTTCTTCTATGTCCTTCCTCTTCACTGTCAGAGGTCTCTGAAGCAACTGCGTCTCAGACCCCATTATAAGTTGTACCCTTACTTAGAAGTATATTCTCAGTCTCCTGAGAATCTTGCTATTCTGGGTATTGCTATGTGCCAAGTTGAGATTGAATTCAAGCTCTTTGACTTAAACACAGTTGACCTTTCATGTTAAAGAGGACAGGGGAAAGGCTCTTGGTGGCTAGAGGGAAACAGGTACATCTTTGAAGTACAGTTTGGTAAATTATTAATCAAAACCATAGAATTATACCTACTCTATGTCCAAGGAATTCCATTCCTAGGATTTTGTTTTAAGAAAGTAGATAGAAGTGTGTGATACTAACAAACAATGATGATCTTTGAAGTTAATATCTTAAATAAGTTTGATAATATGGCCAAATGGTATGGCACTAAGAGACTTTACAAGAATGCTGTAGAATGTGTAATAGGAAATGCTTACAATACACCCGGGAGTGAAAACCACACATCCCAAAGCAGTGCCGTAGGCGACTCCTGTTGTGTGTATTGTGTAGACACCGATAGATGATTGGAAAAGCAAAGGGGGAGAGGTGCACCGTGTCTGCCTGTGGTGGCCACACTGTTGATGACATTTATCTTCTTTGCTTTGTTATTGTGTCTTTTTCTGTAGAACATGTGCTGATTTAACAACTAGAAGGCACACAATAAATTCTGCCAGGGGCGTTAAGGAAATTGGTTAGCATATAACTTGCCCACTTCCGTTTGCGAATATACAGTGCTATTTCCCAGGGTCTTCTCACAGAACCCACTTCCGTTAGATGTCGTATCGCTTTGGTAGAACTTACATCGGGCATTATGCCATTTGGCAAAGGCAGATAGATGTATCTGTGGCAAAACTGTGCCCTGTGCATCCACCCATCCATCTGCCCATCCACTCTTCTACCCCACACCTCCTCCATTTTACAGCGAGTGCTACTATGTTCTCAGTCTAGGTGTTGTGCCAGGTGACTCAGTGGTGAGAGGTTACACATGTCACCAACCTTAAGAGGATAAACTATGTCACAGCAGACACAGTGATCATGTGTGATGAGTGCTATGTACTTACAAGGTGTTCAGACTCTTTAGACATCTTGCTTAGGGGAGCATTTCTAAAGAGAGAAGGTGTCGCTATGGAAATCCAGGTAGTAGAGACAGCAAGAAGAAACTTACCACAGAGTTTTATGACCCACTCAGCGGCCAGCTGAGCAGGAGCAGAGTGAAAGGAAAGTGGCTTTAGGGAGGAAGGGAAAGCCTCTAGGAAATATGGGAAGTTCTCAAAGAACTTTCAGTTCTCTATTCAGTGAAGATGAAGTCATGTTCCAAACCCTACAGTGAACCCATGGCAGTGTTGGGAGTGGATCCTGAGGCTCTCGGCTCACGATGCACTCCGTATGTTTTCTGTCAGCATCTGCGATGAAAGCCTTGGTGGAGGTGTGTGTGGGGAGAAAAGCCAGATCAATGCAAAGCAAGTTCTGCTAAAGTGGGGAAAGAAAACTCCTGAAGGAACATTTACTACTTATGCCAAAGAGTGTAGACAGAACTTTACCTCTTTTCTTTAGGATCCGATGGCATCCAATGGAAGAGCAATAGGTTGAAAGTCTATAATCCTAGGTTCTAGAACTGTTATTACTGTGTTTTAATGGAACATTTTCACTACATTCTCTTAAATATTTCTGTGTATGCTTCTGTATCTATAGTCATGTCAATATCTACATACTTATTGACATCCCAGTTTATTTGTATATTTCAATTTCTTTTTAGATCTGATCAGCTCTATCTCCTCATTCATAAAATCCCTATAAAGGAAAACACAGAATGATATAGTGTTTTCCAAACTTGAAAATTTTGTAAGCGTAAAACTATTTTTTTTTTTTTATACAGGGGCTCACTTTTTAGCACAGGGTGACCTCACAATCTGCCTGCCTTGAAGGTCTGTTTCAGATATCACAGCTTATCTGCAATTTTAGCAATGGCTTTTATATGACAAACATCTCTACTGAGGTAATCAGAGACAGGTTATAAAAACAAAAAGAAGAAGAAACTGTAAGCCACCAGAAGGAGGTTAGCCTTCCAGAACAGAATAGAGAAGACAATGTGTTGGTAACATGGAAATTCAAGGAGGTTATGGCACCTTGCCTCGGTTAACCCATACCTTTGTTGTGGAGGCCAATGACAGAGAGGGATGGTGGGCAAATATTTCTCCGATTATGTATGGGAAAAATGGAGAATTCTGGGGGGTTCAGACAACTCATCTTGACATTGTCCCTGACAAACCTGTGGGAGAGATTATTGATCTGATGGTTTACGGGCCTTCAGAATTAAAATCCCTTGTCTGGGAGCAAACTCACGTGGAATGCGGTTGTGTGGTAGACCAGCTTCGTTTCTCTCAGATAGGCTCATAAGTTATTTATGATGTTAAAAAAAAAAATGTGATGTATGGTGGAGGGAGCTTTTTACAAACAAGTCTAACCAGCCTTGTGAGAACGCTCCAGCTCAGCCACAGAGAAGGAAACAGAAGCGAAGAGGACAGAAGAGCGTGCGGTTCCTCAGCCCTGCAGTGGCTGGACAAGCTTCAGATCGCTCTGAAGTCGGGTCTTTGCAAAATCCGTTTTTTGTTTTTTGGTTTTTTTTTATTCCCATACTTTCAAATATCACACAGCATTTTAGTTTTCTCCGTTTTATTTTTAATAATTTTAAATTTATTCTTCAGAAACGTTATAAACATTTACAATGTGTTTTGCTCCTATCTGCCTCAAACTAACTCTCTCTGGCTCCCCCTGGAGACTCTCTTACACATCTCTACTCAAGCGCGGGTGATCTTTTTGTTTGTTTGTTTGTTTTTGTTTTTGTTGTTTTGTGGATTTCAGTTTTTGGTTTTTGTTTTCTGGAGACATTGTTTCTCAGTGTAGCCTTAGCTGTCCTAGTCTTGCTTTGTAGACCAGGCTGGCCTGGAGCTCATAGAGATCTGCCTGCTTCTTCCTCCCTGAGTGCTGGGATTAAACAATCATGAGCTACCACACCCAGCTCTCTTTTCCTTTTTAAAATAAATCACAAAGTCCAATTGGTGCGGCCCATACCTACAGGTGTGGGGCCACCTGTGGAAACCTAGGCCATGCAGTGCACCAACAGCCACGCTTTCTGCAGTGAGCAACAGCCAGGAGCTGCTCAGCCTAGGGCAGAGCCATAGGGGCCTTTCCCCTATCCCGGCTGCAATTTTGAGCGTCTTTATCTTGTGCAGATAACCACATTTCCGTGAGTTCTTATGTGCAATGGCCATGTCCAGTCCAGAAGAAAGCATTTCACAGCTCCCTTTTTCATCCTCTGGTTCTGTCTGTCTTTCTCCCTCTCTTCTGAGATGTTCCCTGAACCTTGGGTGGACCCACTTAGAGTTGAGAACCTAGACCCATTTATTCTCAGCGCTTTGGCCGGTTATGAATTTCTGAATTAAGAGAATCGTTCTGCAAAAACGATTCTGACCAATGCTGAGAACAGCACAAATCAGTGTAAAAATGTTTAGAAGGCGGTTTGACAATGTAACCATTTTTGAAGTAACAGTGTATTCCCCACTAAGACCCGAGATCTTCCCCAGACATAAGCTTTTGGCCAGGTATACTTTTTGTTGTTTTAGAACTGATGCTACTTTGCTTTTCTTCTCTGAATCTTGCAGCAGGATTGGCATTCTGGGAGCAAACGCATTATATGTATCCAATGGCTGCATCTGCCTTCTAAATGCTGGTTTAACTGGCGAGATGATGGCATCTGATTTAAAACGTATTTCCACTATGGGTTCAAATAAGCGAGGAGTATCTAGAGTTGAACATGGATTCCGACATCTTAATAATAACCTAACTAGCACACAACTGCTACCCAAACTGGGACAAGCAAGCGTTGCATTTATTGAGAACTTACTGTATGCTTGGTTCTGTTCTAGTCATTTTATATCTTCATTGTACTCAGGTCTGTACCAACGCTACCAAGACAGGCACTAGATTATTAGTGTCATATTGATGGGAAGGATCTGTACTGGCAGTCCATAACAACACAGTTGCTTCCACAACTAACCTTTGTCTGCTAATGCTGCCCCAAGCCTCCACTGAATATATACAGTACAGTGAAACCTTCAGACTTGGGCATGCTGAGACTTTGAGATCCTTGCCATCTTCAAACAAACATCAGGCATGCAAAAGAACACAGTGCTAGGTGCCATGGGTAATAAATTTCTAATTAAAGGATTACAGAGCCTCAGTGGTCTGCTTAAACTGTGTTAATTTGATGACACTCTGTAAGTCTAGAACATGGTGATTATGGAAGCCATGTGTTTCCTACGTACAGCTGAGGGTATTTTAAGCAAGAAAGGAAGATTAAGCGCCGAGATGTGATAGTAAATACAGTCATTATTTCTAGCAATTTGTCTGAGGAACCATTTTGACATTGGTTCCAAGAAAGATGCTACAGTTTGACATGATTTATAGCCTCTGGGTTGGTGACCTTTGTCCTTCCTGCTGCTCCTTCTGAGATCCTTCAGATCCTGGATCCTGCCATTTATCTGGCTCATGCTCATTCAGCACTTGCAAACCTGAGGGTCCAGCTTAGGAAGCAGGACACCCCAGCTCTAATCCTGACCCTGAATAAATTTGTGTTTGGCTTTATGCAAATCCCTCTGATCTCTTTGGGTTACCTACTTCCTACTTCTGCCTAATTTACAGGCTGAAACGAGACCTTGCATATGAAATTGGAGAGAAGTACGAGACATCATGCATTATTATTACTAATAATCTTCGAGTTAGTTGCAACAATGCCTCAAGCCAGGATTATTCTTGAATAAATATCACACCTGTTGGGGACACTACTCTTTAATATCCATACCATCACCTCCTCTAGACTGCATATTTTTAGACTCTTAGTAACTCTGTGCTGCTGTTCTTCATTTCAAGTCCAGTCTACCTTCTCTCCTTAAAGCAAAAGGACTTTCCAAAGTGAGTTCTGGGATATAACTGGTACATATATCGCGTCTCCTTAGTCTGGGCTGTTGAGTAAGTTTAATTAATTTAGTAAGTTAATGTTCTACTGCTAGCAACAGAACCTCATTGCCATCAGCTGGGGAGAGGGAATTGAAAGCCTAAATGAGCTCATTTTTTCACAGTTGGAATTAGGGACCAGTTAGCCAGTTGTGAGGGTTTTCCAATTTCTTCATCTGCCCTGGGGGGACTCAGGCAATTCACTCCATTTCCCCCCCACCCCAACACCAAGTGTGAATAAGATCAGGAAGAGGTACAGGGATAAGAAAAAAAAAAAAAACTCCAAAGAAAAATAAAGAAAACCAGCTCAGTTACTTCCATTTTTAGAACTGAAAGTGCTGTCTGGGAGCTGCTTGCTGGGTGGGGCTTGGGGAGCATCTGCTCATGTGCCTTATTTGGAAAGGAAGAAAGAAAGGCCTCCTTGAAGGATATTTAACTGTGTGCGTTTTCATTGCTGGGTGAGCAGATAAAGGAAAAACAAACAATAAAAGAATGGAAACAAAATTACAGAAATTTGCAAAATTTGACAAATGGTGGCCTGTAGTTGCCACAAGCTAATGGCTTGCAATGATTAATAAGAGTAAAAATAATTGCATTTCATTAAGATTGATGACACCCCATTTAACCTCCCCTCTTGTTTCAGCCCTAAAGTGGAAAGAGATGAAGTTCTCATCTATAATAGCTCCTGTAACATTACCATGGAAACTGAGGCAGAGATGGAGTGTGAGACGCCTAATCAGCCAGTTACCGCCGAGATCACTGAAATACAGAAAAGCCGGGGCCAGAACACTCAGGTATAATCAAATCTCTTTTACAGACTGATTCAAACAGCTCAAATTAAATTTGTAATATTGTGTACATTAAAAAAAAAAAAACAATTTAGTCCAAATGGCAGCGATATATAATATTAAATGCTCTCAAAGTTTGAGCAGCTGATCCAGTGCTCAGCATCTGAATTCGTAGTTAACTATGGTTAATCATATATTTTCTCAAAAATAAATGAGCACTGCCTGGCTTCTGTGAAGGTGAACTCGGAACCTCTGCCACATTTTGTCCTGATTTTTCCTGCAAGCATGTTGGTGGGCGGGGGCTCTTCTCTGTTTTATTGCTTGATAAACTAAATAGCCCACAGTTTAACCAGGCCCTTCTGGAAAGCTTCCAAATCGTTCAGCCATCTTCAGCCTTCAGGACAATAATGTCGCGTCTATCTGGTTCAGTTCTGTTCTGTGAGGGAAAGGACTGTGAACATCAACCTCAGAGGAGATGTCTCAGAAGCTGGAAATAAGAAGGGCCAGAGGCCATCTGGTCCAGCCTTTCAATTTCAATGCATCCCATTTAAACCATTGGAACCACTCCTTCCACGTGGCTCTCCTCACACTGTGTTCTTGAAGTCCCCAGTGAGAGATTTCACAGCCTCCCAAGGGAACTGGCTAGAATTGAAATCAGAAGCTCAGAGTACTTTGGAAATCTATCAGATAATCTCTTACAATTCCCCAGGCTTCTCACTGTGCACAGGCCAAAAATAATATTTATTGAGCACCTACTCCCTTAGGTGCCTTTCTTTTCTTTTTTTCTTTTTTTTATAAAGGCAATCCTTAGGTCATCTTGTCTTTGTCTCTTTTATTTGGTACAAACATTTATTAAGTGCCTATTATTTACCTCACAGTGTTCCAGATCCTTTCATGTACGCTGTTTGGTTCAGTCCTTCCCAATCCAGATCTATACGTCTTTGGCCTGTGATAAATGTTATCACGTAGGTTTTGTATTTCTGCTGAAAATGGGTGTAGTTTTGAAGAATCTGTCTTCTGTCCTCCCTATACTGTGCCCTGTCTGTCCCCATACCCAGGGGTCTCTATGCTCGTCTTTTCCTGTCCCCAGCTTTCTCATTCCCCAGAACCTTCCCTTCAGGTAGCTGCCCAGTGTCCTCACTTCCTTTTTTATGGTCTCCGCCCAAATGCCTCTACCTTCCAGCCCACAGCTCACGTTGACTTCCAGACCCACTGTCCTATAATGCAGGCTCCGCTTCAGTCTTTGCTTCTCACTCAGCTGTCAGGTGGGGCTTACGGGACACTTAGCCATGTTCAGTCTCTCTCTAGTTCCCCTTCTCATATGCATTTAAGTTGTTTTCCTGCCCTTTGCCCTTTTTCGTGTCCCTTTCCCTCCTGATAAAAACTTTTCTCTTTCCAGTAAGCCCCCCCTCTCCTTCGTGCCTTTTCTTTTGCACGTGACCACTGAGTTTCCTGCATCATGTGCATGACCATAGGTAGGATGTTATTTACATGGACAACTAGTCAGTGGCTGCACCGCTGAAAATGACACCTTCCGCCGCAAACCATTAACTATCGGTACCCCTTTATGGAGAAGAAGGGCCTGATGAGATGTCCTCCACCCATCATGAAATGTTGAGGGGCTCAATCTTGTACAGGCAACCGTAGCTTCAGTGAGATCATGAGTACGGCAGCCCTGTCATGCTCAGAAGGCATCATTTTGTGATGCCTCCCTGTTCTCTGCCTCTTACATTCCACCCTGCCTCTGCAAAGATCTCTGGGCCTTGATATATGGCTCTTGTTTAGTGCCAAACAGTACACTAATTCTTATTCACGCCACCAATCATAAGTCTCTGTTTTAAGCACCTTGGCCTCACTTTCTGTCCGAGTGGATAATAGTCTAGTGTTCTTGGCCTTTTAACATAAGCAAATTCTGGGCAAAGGAGGCAAGAGGAAAGTAATCATATTGGTTAAGTGCCTGAGCTTTGGAGCTCTACTACCAGATTTGAATACACTACTCACCTCAAGAAAATTATTTACCCTACCTGTGTCTCAGTTTTTCCATTTGTATAGTGGGGATAATAATTGTAGCTACCTGCTCAGGCTGTTGTGAGCCTAACTGCATATAAGACACTGAAAACTTAATCACACACACAGCAAGTATCCAGTGTTATCCAGTGACAATTCAAGAAAATGGTTGTTGAATTATTTATCACAGTACTTGCTGCTTCGGCCAGATAATTTTACCTCTTAGATTTCATTAACATTTTTTTTTGAACGGTTCATAGTCTAGTTTTGAGATTTGAAAGATCTTTAGATGCTTCAGTTATTTTAAAACCCTTAAACAATACACACATATTGAGTTCAGGTACCTCTGCTATGCTCTATGGAATGGTGTCTTGGCTGTTAAGGAATAGCTGGATATTGAGGTTAGGGAAAGGTAAAGTTTATAAGAAGGTACCTAGGGTTGATATATCCCAGTTCAGTGGATCTTTGGGTATCACCCAGACTAGCATTTCAGAGTAACTAAGACTCATAAGGACAGATGATTTGATAAAGATCATTTAGCTCTGTATTTGACTTCACATCCATGTAGCCATAAGCCATATGTGGAGAAAGTAAACCCTTGCTCTTTAGGAACTGGGCTCGGAGAGAATGAGAGCATGTCTGAAAAACTTACTAGGCTAAAGCAATGTATAGGAAACTCCACTCCTTAGGGGTGAGGGAAGTATATGGCACAGTTGTGGCTGTAGCATATGGTAGTGGTGATGGTTTTAAAACTATGGCGTCAGAGTTTTAAACAGACTATTAGCAGAGCCCTTTCATGTAGCTAAGAGGACATGGGAACAGTAGAAGAGAGTTAGAGCAGAATCATCAGAATTTGAGATCTGTGTTAATCTTAGCAGGTTCCTAACTAATCTAACAAGGGTATAGGACACAATTTTTACATACTGATTGTATTTATATATAGGGAGCTGGGGAATATCTGTGTGGCTTAAATGGGCATCCAGTTGTCCAGGGCCCAGGAAAAATATAGTTCTAGGTAATGGGAAACTTGTTAATCCTAGATTCAGGTCTCTGGCGGGGTGGTTTGTTTTGCTTTAGGAAGTGGATATCATGAAGGCCACAATTAACTAAGTGGACACACAGTTGATTTATAACCAAGGCCAGTATGCTCTGAGAGTAATAGGTCCCCGGTGACATTCTTATCCATGACTGAATGTGTGCTTTCTCTATTCTGGCCTTGGGAATCTTTGTTAGGATGCAAACTAACTTTGTTTCAGTCTAGCTTGGGAGAAGTACAGCACTGACAGACGTTTAACTGAGACAAGTACAAGTCAGTTAGCAGTGGAAAGACCCCGAAGTCAGAAGAATCTGTGAATGTTGGTTCTCTCTTGCTGTGTGAGTAGTTATGAATATATTTATATGTTTGTGAAGGATATCTAGGGGTATTTGATACATGATTCATAATGTGAATTTTACAAGACTCACAGTATTAGCATAGCTTGTCTTTGGAACATTTTAATTCCAATATTTGTCAATGGGCTGACACCTCTCCTTAGGCCCTCATCTTTGAAGGAGTTCTTTGTGTCGCTGTGTTTGGTTCTGTGGTTGTCAATATGAGGTCTTAAGAGGGGAACATAAACTAAAGAAAAATTGTTTGTCTAGGGATAGCAGATGGATTTGGTCCATTGTATATAGCAAGGCTGGTGTTCAACTTGAGCAAGCCTGAGACAGCTGTAGAACTCTCTGACAAGTTCGGAGGGAAAAAAAAAAAGGACGTGGATAGCAGCTTTCTCTTCATTTCTGCCTCCAGGAAATTCTGCCAAGTTCACCCTACTCATTCAGTCATTTGCCCCAGTAGTTTGAGGGGTGGCTACTTGAAGAGCCTTCCCTAAGAGGAAGTAATTTCTAACATTTGATTCTAGAAACTTGTATGTACTAAAATGCTAGTTGGTATGAGAATAAAATAAAGACATGTAATTTGGTACAAGAATAAATAAAAGTATACAAAATTCAGAAAGTTTACCCGCCCTGTGCGTACTCTGAAAGGTGATTTGAGAAAGTGTAAGATGATTCCAAGAAAATGTGACATGAGATTCAGAAAATAACGATGAACAGAAAACCAGAAACACAGCAGGAGCAACATAAAAGTTGTTGACAGTACACCTCTGAACTTAATATAGTTCTTGCTGTACATATTTGTGCATTTGTATATATGCACTTGTGCATGTACATGGGAAAGTTAGAGGTCAAATTAGGTTTCTTCCCTCATGCACTGTCTACTTTGCTTTTTCAAACATGGTCTCTCACTGGCCTAGAGCTCACTAAGAGGGCTCTGCTGGATGGCCAGAACCTCCAGAGGATACACCTTCTCTTCCTCATTGGAGCTTAGATTCCAAGCCCTTGCCACTTTTTTTTTTTTCAAGTCAGGGTTTCACTGTGTAGCCCTGGCTATCCAGGAACTTGCTCTGTAGACCAGGCTGGCCTCCAACTCAGAGATATATCTGCCTCAACTTCCCAACTACTGGGCTTAAAGGTGTGCACCCCACCCCCACCCAGCATCTGGCCTTTGGTTTGTAAACATGGATTTTGGTGATCAAACCAGATCCCCCTGATTGCATGGCAAGAACTTTATTCACTGAGCGGTTTCTCCAGCCCCTTATCACAGTTTTCAAGGATGGATTTCTTACCCAAAGAAACAGTGACATCCTTCAAGTAGATATAAAGAAAAAAAAAAAAAAAGAAAGTGTAAGTCCTGTATTTGAAGAAATGAAGAGACAAACCTCAGTACATGAAAATAAAATGTAAGCAGGAATAGTCTCAAAGGAGAATTCAGAAAAAAAAAAAAGGAGAAAGACCAATCACCTACTAGAACCCCCAAAACTTTGAACCTAGAGGCAGTTAGAGACCAGAAATTGAGCACAAGATAGGACACTGTTAGTTACTTTTTTCAATGCTGCAACCAAATACCTGAAGCAAGTTGAAGAAGGAAGTACTTTTGGGCTTACAGTCTGAGGTAATAC